CCTGAATCCGCCACTGATATCATTGTTTTTCCCCTCCGGAGCCAGGCTTTACCGTAAACCATATTAAGGGCAATACAAATAATAATAATAATGAGTATTAATCAGTCTATAGCACTCTTGTTTACTATTGAACAATAGTTTCGCAGATTTTTATTATTGAACAGTTGCTGGAATATTCATGATTATCATCCTAAAACATCGGATAAGATTATATTTAAGAATTAAAATTGTGTATCTTTAGCCTGTAAATATTACTGATTTTTCTATACCGTATCAAGTTAACTATAAAGCGATTTATTTAAGTCTCACAGCAGAATATAACCGAACAACATCAATTGTATTGTGCTATGAATATACAGGAAATAATAAATTATAAAAAAGACGGCAGAATGAAAAGTGCTACCTTTATCGTTACCTTGGCGTAAAATTTAGGAGGCTATACATTGAGGTCTAATATTGTTGTGACTCCGATAGACTATCACGGTTTGTAATACACAATGGATTTTAATGAAGTAAAAGTTGGTATAAAGAATCACGAAGTACGAGTCCTTCATTTTGAGAACCTCTCCAATAGTGAGCTGTATATTATACTTGGCCTCATTTGATCTGATACTCAATGAATCACTGTTCAATTACGCTGTACGAGCAACTCATTTTATGGGCCTAACATAACATCCATCGGTTAATTTACTCGACATTTCTGGCCTACATAATGTGTTAGAATAGCCCTTTATAAACCAGAATGTCCTCGGCCGCCGCCTTCTCGACATACAGGCGTGTACTTTGTTTAGACATGAGCGATTATTTTTTACGGACTGCTAATTAATGATTGATACAATATGATTACTGGTATTTGTATTTCAATATATTTCGATCGCTAAAAATGCACAACCGCACCTCGGTTAGTGCATTCCATTTATCGAGAAACAAAACAAAAAACGATCTGATAAAGAGTTTTGGGAAGGGATGGCTTCGAGCATAGAAATTAATCTTTGTCCGGAAAAACACAATCTTTCACACACGAACAATGAAACGTCGGCCACTGCAAACAATGGATCCGACTTCTACTGGGACGTAAAACGTAGTTTAAGGTTAATGAAAATTAAACATTATTTGCCAAGTACTGCGAATTGTAACTCTTAACGTTAATGCTTCATATGTAATGGATCCTGTCATGATTATTCTATAATGGTGACGATTCGTTTTGGTCGCGTGTGCAAACAGATATCGTTTTTCCCCAGGTTTCTGTATTTATCGGAACTTATGAGACGGTCCCTGCATATGGGAGTCATCGTTACCTCGTGGTTCGTCGGCGTGGAAATAAACAGTGTTTATGCGATTAACGGCAGTCGTTTTCGTTTTAGATTCATGATAACAGTTGCTAGCCAATACTCGTCTAGCTGGCTGGTTGACTGATCATTATTGTACTACAGAAAAGCGTAACAGTTGAAGCTTTTATGTTGACACCATCCGAGCATTATACCTTCATGAACCGAGTGAGTATCGTGTTGACTCGCTCATAACATTCGTTAGCTTTTATAACTTCATGGAAAAACTCCCATGGTTACAACCAAAGTAAGTTTTGTCTTTTCGTTGAATCTATAATTAATAATAATGTTATGGGGTTAAATGCAACATCTACAACTTCGTCTGATATTCAAACTGTTGGCGAAAGCTTGTGTGAAAAACTTATAAAGTACTACATTGTATTCTGTGTATGATTATCGACGAATGCAGTATTATTTAAAAAAAATACTATTACTGGAAATGTATCGGAACTTTCGAGGTGGTCCGCCGACCAAGTTTTCTTTTCCTCTGGGATTTACACGGTAACTTCTAACCTTCTGGGTTTTTTCCTCTATTCGTTTGTCTGTGACGTCACTCCTCAATGTCCGCTGTACAATAATATTATGGGCTATGAATGATTTAAGACGCAAAATTGAGGATGGATTGATGGATTGAAGAGACTGATCGTAAAACCATCTGACTATATCTGAAATTGTTGAAACGCAGTAGGGGGAACGTCCTGTCGGGCCATGATAGAAGTATGGGATATAACTTAGTACCACGTGTCGCAATAGCAACAACACGGGGGTATCGTATAACTAAGTACTAAATTGCGCTGGCTGTACTTTTATTCATGACTCGATGTTTTCTCCAGACGAAATAACTAATTGATTTGGTGCTCAATGCATTTCAACGGCACATCCAAGTAAAAAATGATAATTGATAGGGATAAGGATAATAATAATAATAAGATAAATAATAATTAATATTGATAATAATTTATGTTCAAATTTAAATTCATATTTATTTAGTAAATAGATAAAATCCAGAATTAAGCATGAATAGCCTAATTATAAGAAGTTAAGATTCAAGATTCAAGATTCCATTTATTGTCACATACAAGCATAAGTACATGAAATTTGCTTTCCAGAGCGAGAAATACACAAAAATATACACACAGATAAAATTACAAGACAACTATAAATATAAAACTATAAAAAATATAAATTATACAGTTAACTCAATAATAATAATGTTTACAGCAATATTAATAACAATAGGCCTATACTGTATTAATAATTATACAGTTAGGCCTATAATAATACTGATACTTCGAAAAGTAATACCTGGTTAGCGACGAGGGCGTATCCTCATACTCCGGTTTTTGGCTATTGGAAACTTTCATCTTTATTATGTTATTTCTTTTATCTTTCGTAGTTCTATACCGCCATGCTTTTTTTTACAGCGCATTTTATGCTTTATCAATTTAAAACCATTAAATCTTTAATATAATAATTGTGTAGGCTAATTATAGGCCATCATAATAGTTATAATAAGATCAGTAATCGATCTAAGGTGTCTTGTAGTAAACCCTCAATAATGGTCAATAAACGGGGTGGAGAGGTGTGTCACAAGAGCGGAAAATGCGGAATAGTGTTAATACGGTTAGAAATTAGATACGGATGTTAGAAATGAAAGTTTAATTTGGGAACAGTTGCTTATTCCGATGATGATTTGCGTCAAGTGATTAGTAGGAGGTCGTCGGTTCGATTCCCACCCAAATACCCTGCGAGTACTGTAGAACAAATACATCATTCCTATAAATCTTTTTAGTGGGACATTCGCGCTTCCATATGCTAATTTTTCTCGCTCTATATAACTTCTTCCTAGAATTTTTCTTCAGGATGTGACCTGGACTTTGTATTATTATTATAGACCTATATTATTTTGTGAATATTTTTGAACAAAGAATGTTTTGAGAGCAACACTAAAATCCTTATTTCTTTTTGGAGAGGCCTAAACGTCACTTTCTCATTGAGAAGAGGTATTTTCTTCACAAGGGCATGCCTAGAACAAAGAAAAAGAAACTATTAACACTATGACAATGGAACACCTACTTCTACTCAAAAACAATAACTGAAGTATATTTAAAGCAATGCGCATTTGCATTTTCTCCTGATGTTATCTGTTAAAAAACGTATCACGATAATTGATTTCCAGGCTTTCGTTTTTACGTGGCACTCCCGACTTCTTATGAAGGCGAGCGACATGATGGATTATGGTAGTGAATTTACGGGATATGCCTAGGCCTAATTAATAAAATTCATTTTAAAATGTAGATGTTTTGTTTTTCTGAAAGCGAATAAACATAACTGTATGACTTATACATTTCCGAAATATGTATATCAGAACCATAGTTTTAAAACAAATTAGTGAAAAGATTTGTTAGAGCGTAAGCGTACGTGCCCCTGCATGTTTGTTTATGGGACATGCGCGTATTTCGGGCCTCACTGCGTCCTAGATTATATTGATTCAGACGACAACTGTAAGTTCTCACATGCGCATAACATATTACGTTTTAGATGTTACCATCGAACTCCTAGAATATATATTTTCTCCATGGTATCCATGTGTGCCTGACCAAGCCCGGACGGATACGACTGTGTGCGCGCGCATGTGTGTGTTCATCTTATGTTTACGACTTATAAGTATTAAAGCTGTATGTACTTTCACGTAGGCCTAAGTCTTTATAGTCTAAGTAAATTGTTGTGGTTTATCATTCTGTGTATTACTGTATATAGGCCTATTTAGTTTTTCATGTAACTTTATATTACTGTTATTTTTTACTTTGAAAACAAGTTTGCTTATGCTTTTGGATATAATTTTGTAATTCTATTTTAATTTTAATCTAAAAATGTTTAATATATACATAATTATTATGATCAAAATTGACTTTTTCTTTAACTAGAACCAGACGAGTGGTTATATATAGATGTGTATAAGAGACAGGTTTTGGGAAGGGATGGCTTCGAGCATAGAAATTAATCTTTGTCCGGAAAAACACAATCTTTCACACACGAACAATGAAACGTCGGCCACTGCAAACAATGGATCCGACTTCTACTGGGACGTAAAACGTAGTTTAAGGTTAATGAAAATTAAACATTATTTGCCAAGTACTGCGAATTGTAACTCTTAACGTTAATGCTTCATATGTAATGGATCCTGTCATGATTATTCTATAATGGTGACGATTCGTTTTGGTCGCGTGTGCAAACAGATATCGTTTTTCCCCAGGTTTCTGTATTTATCGGAACTTATGAGACGGTCCCTGCATATGGGAGTCATCGTTACCTCGTGGTTCGTCGGCGTGGAAATAAACAGTGTTTATGCGATTAACGGCAGTCGTTTTCGTTTTAATATTTAAAAAAAATTATTTTAATTCATTTTGCTTTGAGCTAATTAAATTCCAAGTAGGCCTACATACAATATTCTTTATCAACAATTTGCGTAAGTTTTTAATATATACATCACTGGTATGTACTGTACGTCGTCTTTACGTGTATTTTGAGCTTGCATTGAAGTAACAATACCAAAAGACCAACTTGTTTGAATACTAGTCAATCAAATGTTAAACTACCAGCACTTAAAAAAAGAAACACATTTATTTTCAACAGTGTTTGAATAAATAATACGAACCTGTACAAAAATACAAAAATACCCATAGGCATATTTCAATATCTTATTGATAATTGTTTTAATATTGATATGTCTTATCAATAATTCGTTAGTCTAAAGAAGGTGCTATTAGGCCTATACTCATTTCATTTGTAATTATTGATTACTTAATCGAATACATATTATTAAATTAGGCCTAAATCATTTTTCACAAAAGTCAGTTAGTTAGCTATGTTACATTTATTCTATTTTAATTTTTTGTTTATAAAGCTTGATGGTACGATCGTCCGATTCTTAATTAATTGCCTTCCAATTCCATGGTGCTGAGTTCAAATCATGCAATAAGAACGTGGCTCCTAATTTGGTTTTATCTATGAAATAGAATCCTTTTATAGTGCTCAGTGCGCGCCATACAAGATAATTGTGGCAAGTAGGCCTGCAATAGGGCTGTGGCATGGGTGTACCGATACAGGACTGTATTATGCTGTCCTTTTAGTACCAGGGCTCTTGGAATGTGTAAAAAAAACCCTGCTGATTCGCTCAACCATGGAGGAAAGAATAATGGCTCAACGAAGCAGACTTAAAAATGTATAACATAATGGGCCTTGTAAGACTGCAATGTCTAATAAACAGGTTCCTTGAATGAAATATAATATAAATCAATCAATTTCAGCTATAATGTGCATAAAAATGTCCATGATTTATGAGTGGAGTAAATACATCGCATTATTAAAAAATACGCACAACCATAAATTCATTTTGCAACCTTTGGAGGTACCACCACGCATTTAAATATTGAGACGTATTTATATTATTTTAAATCTTTCTTGGATGTGGTATATTGACTGGCAGCTATGCGGGTAGACAGGCGGACAGACGGCGTACCGTCCGTATGATTCAGCAGTAGTCGCACCGTGATGTTCAATCCACGGTATATAGGCCTACAGGCCCATACGAGGTAATTGTTCTCAATTAACGACCAGCTGTCTCTGCCTCGAATCTGTCGCAAGAATTCGTCTGTGCGCTTTGTTGAAACAATATTGCAGTCTTTATTTAATATTTTGTAAGAATTTTATTCTACCTTTGACCATTAATAAACTTTTAAATGTGTAATACGTTTTCCACCCCCTACAGTGAATTGGCGTAACCGTATTTAATATAATATAGAAGTTGACCGTGTGATGTTTTCGATTTTATTGACACGTGTATACAAAGTAATGACTATTTAAAATCTCCGGGGAATTAGGTGTATACATTTTTGTTGTATTTATCGCTGCAACAAAATCGAAAACTTGTCCGCTTTTCGGATACAGTAAATGATTACCTGGCTCTACCGGCCTCTTAAAAAAGACAAATCGACCCGGAAGGTCACTCTGAGGGTATACTTTTTGCATGAACCATTAGCTGATACCCGTTTGTGATATGAATATGGTGGCGTCTACCAGTACACGGCATCGATACATGCGCAATCAAAGTACAGTATACTGTAAGTAGAATCAGTTTGGCTAGCTTCGTTTGGTCCAGCTACGACTAGAGAAGAGAACCCGCTATCGTGATCGCAAGAAGGTATAAAAATATGGTAATCGTAAATTAACTGATCAGGGTAACCATACAAATTGTCCTGTATACGATGGTTGTCGGCATTTCGCGCAACCCATTCATATACGTTTCCTCTTTGCTATACAGTTGCCTGGCTTTCGGAAGCCCGTATAACGCTTTGTCTTCTCTGTTTTTCGTACCGTATTTCGAGGTTCGCGGTCATTTTCCTCGAACAAACACTGGCTAACTTTACTGTGACTATTTAGATACATTAGGCCTAATACTTCGAATTCCTGAGAATGTTCAGGACAAAATTTCGTTTGTGAATGTACATACATGACGTTATTATTCATCGCTTTAAATATTGATATCATCCGGGAACTGATAGTATTAAGGATCGTGGTGTATGTGTGGGGGTTGTGCGTGCGTGTGTGTTAGCACTGTTTTGCCACTACATTTTAAAAAATTTCAATGCAAATCAATGTTATGTGCTACCGTACCGTACTCATTTATCTATTCTGAAACGGTTGTGTCTCCTGTGGGTTCGCCCGAACTCCCCTGAGTAAACCCCTTTGACAAGCGAACCCCTTGTGATTTAAGCAATTACATTACTATTATTGTATAGTAGTAGACTATTTGTAAGATTGACTTCTAGCAGAAAAAAAAAACAATTCTACTTTGTTGTTTTTTTACAAAATTTATGTTAAAATTTACTTAATTTCAGTGTTTTTACTGTGCGTTGCTGACAACTGTCTTGAAATCCTTTGTTGAAAAGAAGTGATCATCATTACTTTAGAGGCCCTGCATACTATAACTCTTACTCCTTTGCATTGGATAATTACAAAAATGTATTTCATTTATTTAAATATAGGCCTATGCCATTTGAAAGTGCAAAAAAAGCTCCGGTTTCTGGGCCTTCGCCCCTTGGCACCACGTGTGTATATATATTTCTTTGATGATTAATATATATATATATATATATATCTGTCTCTTATACACATCTAGATGTGTATAAGAGACAGCCTCTAGGCCGATTGAACATATGAATGCATTATTAAACCATCATGAATATAAGTGGGTCAAGGCACAGACATCGCATGCACGCTAACGTTTCATCATGTTTTTGTCTCTTACATCGAATTAAAAAACAAATTTAACGCAATTGTTTATGTGAGAGGTCTTTTACGGAGATAGCTATAATTTCACGTAGGCCTAAACTACTAAGACAATATGGTACAGTAATTTATTAAGGGAAAAGAAAACAAAAACATTCATTAACTTAAAGAGAGCGAAAAAAAAGTTTCATTTTTCTTAAGCGAGGACTATAAAAGCAACAGTAGTTTTTTACACTTCAATAATAATGTATCTTAATAGGAACTACACCATCTGAGGCACCTTTCTCAGTGGAAGGTTTGGTTCGATCCTATATGATGGGAGTTTCCCTTGCCCTTGGAAAGTTGTATCTCTCCATCCAGAGGTGTAAGTGGGTACCTGTAGTTACCAGTGTGGCAATTACTGCTGCAATATTATGGTACCGTAAAACCTCGAATAGAAGCCCGGGCTTCTTTTTATGGGACCATTTGGATGGGCTTCTTGAGATAGGCTTCTTTTCGGGGGTAGGGGGTGGGGGCACCGTCGCCTCAGTCGGGGAGAGAAAAAAACAATTCGTCGGGGAGAAAAAAAAAATATTTTCTACATACTATCATTCCAAAATCTGTTAAATAAATCTTTGAAACCCCGAAATTGTCATATTTTTCGGCTTCCCTGGTTCACTTTAGAAAGATTTTGAGCGACGCCCGACCATAGGCCTACCCACTTTGCTCTGTTCAGGGACATCTCCCCCCACCCTCTTCTGAGACCTCGGGGCCCCGTCGGGCAAATCCAGTTTCCACTCCTGGACTTGACCAAAACCAAGTACCATTTCCATTACCGGTATGTGCGGGTTTTTTTTTAAATTATTTTAATAAAATAATTTTTTATACTGACACGCTATATTATAATCATCAAAGATACTGTCGTCGGAATGTAGGCTTAAAATATAATATCTCAAAAAAAAACTCCATCTTGATTGGAAGCCCATTTGCTTCTTTTTGAGAGGGGCTTCTTTTTGAAGATTAATTTTTGCAAGCAACGTAAAGAGAGGGAATTCGTTTCTAGATGGGCTTCTCGAGATTAAACCCATTCATTGGGCTTCTATTAGAGGTTTTACTATATGTTCCTTTTTCTTCTAATGACCAGGATAATATAATAAATGTGATAAGCGCATGAAATCTTAACATAATATACCGGTACGCGTTATGAAATTTACCACTCTTATTATGATAAGGCGCCAATTAATTGCGAGTCGTTAAGCACTTTGTTTGCATCATAGCGAGCTGTATAAATTTCTATTTGATTATGATATTGGATGATATGCAGTTGTATAAATACTGTTATTTGCTCGATAAATTCAAAGTTATACCACCACTGGTCAGCCGGGAAGGTGGCAGTGACACATTGGGATTTCCACGAATCCACAGACATTATTTGATGCGATCGAGTTATTATAGTTATTATTTATGATACCATAATTGTAGGCCTTTCACAAACCACGGAAGGGGAGAGATAATTCGCAGCCAATGAATTGAATTAACAAACACGGAATTTTATCTCATTTCGGATTTGAATTCACTCGCTTTTCGATCTGCGGGGATCAGTACGCATGGTATATCCATCTGTTTCGATTTACCCAGGAAATTAAACGATATTGAACCTGTAATTCGAATCAGTCGCACATCCTGCGCATGCTCAACTGCCCATACGTTTTAACTCTTCATACGCACAAACAATTAATAATTAACATGTATATCGAACTTAATTAATATGAAGTTTTGAATGTAATCTTTTCGATTCTGGTTCGCCATAAATATGTTGTGCACACAGTGGGGATTTAAACCGTCCGTGCAATAATTAGCACAAAGTCGATCAGGAGTACGGTTGAGGCTGTAGGCCTACTAAATGCGGAAAATATAGCATCAGCAACGGAGCAAAAGTTTCAGAAAAATTTGTGTGTATTGTAAGATCTTTGTGATTATCGGACGATTTAATCGGAAAGGCTTAAAGGCATTTCGACGCCATCTTACCTATGTATGTGATATCAGACAATATTAGCATATCATAATCGTTCATCAGACACGTCGTGTCAATCAGACAGTAAACCGCCACACACTCGTAGCCTAACCCTGCCATTGATGGTTTGCGATAACGTTAACAGATTGATTAACGTAAAAGCCATTCGGATTTTTCTGAGCTGCCAAATAGTTGTATATACTGTAGGGGCCTATAAATAAGATACAGTAGTATAATACATAGGCCTACTCTAAGTATCGAAATGCACGCCATCGTGTCTTAAATCCCGACACGATGGCGTACATTTCAATACTTGGAGTAGGCCTATGTATCAGTGTACTTTCGGTTTTTATATTATAATGTACACGAATTCACATTCATATAGGCCTACTTTTTGTTATTTTGGTCACGCACCGTTAATTACATAGTCTCGCCAACTATTTTGGGAAGAAGTGAGGCGTCATAAACTAGGCCTATTGGAATTCAAGGTATAAAATGGCATAACCTACTTCGATAGGGTACACTAATTTAAACAAGCATAATGCGTGCGAGAACCGACTTATTCGGATGGTTTATCTAATTATATTTAGTCTCTTACATTACGGTTGGTTGACCTATGTCGTACTAATAGAATTGGCAAGTTAAGATTTACCCGGAACACAGGCCAGGCCCCGGGCCGGGCATGTTTGAATGAATCGCACCGGGGGTGGATCCAGTATGTGGCACGGGGAATGTGCCTCCCCCCCCCCTCCCGTTTTGCCACTAAATTAAAAATTTCAGTACACATATTGAAATAAGCGCTACTCACTTATCTATTCTGAATATTTTGTTCCCCCCTCCCCCGTTTGAAAAAATTCTGCATCCGGCCCTGCGCACTGTTATTTTTATCCCCTATATGCCAGCTTGTCTTGAAATTCTGCTCGTCCCTGTGTCTTAAAACCTCAGTGTTTAGTCTAGTTATGACCGTTGCATTTTTCTTATCGAATAATAGGCCTACTTTTTACATTCTAAAACAATGTGCGTATTGAGTATCAAAAGCACAGACAATCCTGCTTAGTAACTTGGCCGTATTTATTATGATATACCGAACAATTTTTTTGGCTCATTTTACAGGCTGAATAATCACAACTGAGTATCTGGTGTCGGTAAACTGGGTCATGTTGCGGTTGGACTGCAACGATTCCTCCCCGGCAGCCAAGCAGATCGAAAGGTAAGGCATCTACCGAAAGCGTTAGTGTCCGATCCTCAGTTCAGAGTTAAACCACACGTCGCGCAAATGCACTTATAGCCCTGCTGACTTCCGATTAAATCATGTCGGATTCACTCACGCTTAGGAATAGAATTGACGCTGTTAGGAGTCTTGCGCTCGTCAGGCTTTTGCGTTTGTGTGTCAGTACGCGTCTAATTTCAACCAGTTCACACTGAAAATCGACGTGGTGGCTTGCGTATAGGTGCACGTAGCGTTTCTTTTTGTGTTTGCGTCGAAACGCTCTGTATGCTAGTGTGAAACAAATTTAAGTGACAATTTCATGCAAATCGCTGAGTGCGTCTCGACTCCCGAGGATGCACAACCAGTCAACGAATTGAAAGCACAAAATGTTTAAATTTCCAATCGGCATCAATAAATTGAATTGGGCTAAATGAACTTGTGAGGTATAATAATGGTCTTGTAACTCAATACAACTCATTTATCTATCGTTTCGATAGCGCCTGCCGGTTAATTAATTTTCATCTTAAATATTCATGTATCTGCCCGTCTGCGTTTCTCCAATTACTACCGTACGGTAAAGTAAATATTAAAATACTTGGTTCGGAATACGTACTGGTTATTGGTTGCTTCTGTAAATGGTATGATGGTTTACGGAAATACTTTGCCATAGTACACTTATGGGCCACCGTACCATGGTGTCTCGCCACACCATATTCGTATATAGACAAGATAGGCCTAGGTCTAATTATAAAAATGAATTTAGTAGGTTCTACGAATCAAACCGTTTACCTTATAGGCCTACTTCAAATCCTGCAAAGGCCTTTACAATAATTGTGTGATCATAGGCCTAAGTGTTATAATTCGAATGTTCGAACTTGAAATTCACACTTATATGCAGACAATGTACTTGACGCCGATAGTAGGCCTTCGGCCATTCGCGACATGCGTCCACTTTCGATTTTGGATGGTAGGCTTAATCGTAGGTCTAATACAGTACTTCGGTATGAACATTCATCGTTACCGTACGGTCTTATAAAAAGTTTTTACCGTTTTTGGCCGTTGTAAACCATGAGCCCGTGAAAATTTCCCGAGATAACTTGACGAAATCTCGTAACCTTCTCTCGCCCCCGGACCTGTTAATATGGAAAGTCTTCCGAGTTATTACTGCGCGTAGCCTACGTACTGAAATCATTACAGCACATTTCTTTGAAAGAATTTTGGAAAATTGAAATTTTGTTAATATTTTTTATCCTTTGTTTATATCAGAAAATGGAATATAGACTTAGTTGTATTTGTGACGAAATATGAATAGGCCCTATTCATCAACCAACATCGAAATTCAAACGTTGTATTGAACTGTGATGATACGTAACGCGACGCCATACTAGCTTTATTTTGATGATTATGGTGAAATTATTATACGGTAGCCAAGCTGCCTAGTCTTGTAGTCTAAAAATCCATATTTTCATCATGGAATAATTGCTCATTATGGGGGCTAACATAGTTTCGGATTCATAATTAACTCAAGCATGCATTTCTTTCGAGACTTTACTTGGTTTCCCAAGTACACGTTTGCATAGAAAAATAGGCCTCCGTTTGGGGACTCAAACGAACTCTGTAAAATGGTTTTATTTAACTGTAATTGTGAAGGGTATTATTAGTATTCTTATACTGTACTGTACTTAGTACTGACAACACTCGCACAAATCGAATCATTTAGAATTTGGCAGACGCGTAGCATTTTACAACACACGCTTTGCTCTTGTAATTATTCGCATGATTGGGGGTTCGTTGGCTAATTAGGAACTAAAAAGTTTTAACACGTCATTGGAAACACGCGATCTAGACATTATACGAAGTCATAAGACGACGACGATAATGGTGATGGTGATTATAATAATGTCGATGGTGATGATGACAGTGACGATGGCGATAATGATGAAATGCTAATGGCGATGTTAATGTTGATATAATTGTTATATCAACATTAACATCACCGTTAATGTTGATATAATCGTTATGGTGATGTGGAATGGTTATGATGATGATGATGATGACGGTAATGATGATTATGAAAATGATGATGATAATGATAACTATTGTGTTTTTCAAAATCCCAATTTTTCGTTGAACCTTAGTAGGCCTACTAGTAGTAAGCTATGATTAATAAGAGGATGGTTGATGCAGTTCTGTAAATACCTACCGTACATTGCATTTGATAGGCTACTTTATTAAAACATTAAGCATCAAATTTAACTCAAAATGGAATCCAACAGAGAAACATTATTCAATATATTATTTGCTAATCTATTTGTACTCCCACGCCACATACATTGTTTTAAGTTTTATTTGTGATTGTAATTTTGTTTATATTTTCTTGTATATGATGTGATAATAAAATATGATAACGAAGATGGAAGTAACGGCGACGTGGCGTAAAACAGTCACCCGCCGAATCCATCTTCGCATTCACGAACGCTTGACGACACTACGTAATCTGCTGATAGACGTTGACGCTGTCTGAGTTGGCCTTAAGCGAATCCGTCGGAATCACGCAACCACATTTTAATTCACGCGTGGCGCATGGCATGGTGCAGGGACATGCATCAGGACAGTGTGTGCGGTTGACATGCCCTTTTATGATTGTTTTACGCAAGCACTCGCGCATCAACGATCGCTCTGTCTGAGTTTTTTTTTTTTAGATATACGGTAGGCCTACATTTCCAGTGATTAGAGTGATGGGAATTGTATATCGATTATATCACCTTACACAAAGACTACCATGTTTATACAATAATTATATAGCCTATTATAATTGTATTTTTTGACTGTATGAGTAGAGTTTACAGCTCTGTGAAATATTCAATTATGGTTAGGTCTATCTGTTAAAATAGACATATGTTACTATTCTTTGTTTGATGTTATCCACATTTTCATTATTTTGTAAGTACACTATACTCTATTTTTTTTTCTGTTACCCTTCTATTGAAACGGTACCATAAACACGTTAACGATGACATGCGTCGTTTTGACATATTTTTTCCCAATTCCGTGTACTTTAGGCCTACTCCATTTTCGAAGTGAGCAAACAATTTTATTATAATTATTTGTACGGCACCATTATTACTAGTATTAAAGGCATATCAGTATTCTTCAATAGTAAAAACGTATAAATTATTATTTGTGGTTATTAATTGGGATTTACAGTGATGACTTCACGATAGACTTTATAAATACTGTACTTATTTGTAGTAGGTGATTGTTTGAATTGTTATTATTATTAGTATTTTTTTTATAACTGTATATAATTATAATTATTATTATTAGTAGTATTGTTATAGTAAGCCTTTATAGTAGTAGTATCATATAAAGCTTTGACCTGTGTTACTGTAGAAATATACGTGACGATGAGTCGATTGGGCTGTTGTTTAACTGCTGACAGAAATGATTTCATCTTTTTTTTTTCTACAACTCGTTAGGCCTATGGTTTAAATTATTTTATTGAGCGTAACATCCTCTAAACACTGGATGAGCAGCGTGTGTTCGTTCATGGCGTCAACCCAATTTAGTTAATAAACGGTTACGAGTCTTCTTCTTGATCACTTAGGCCTACTTTACTAGACTCAGACCTGTATCCTATTGGCTACCGCAAGCCTGCAATGCCGAAGCCCATTTTATCTGCCAAGCCCTCTGACAAACAGAACCCAAAGCGCCACCGCCCCACTCCTAAATAAACGATCATTGCCGACACATGTTTCTTATTTTCGCATACGTTTGTGTGTTTTTAGCGCAATCCGCAATCCGTATGTCGCCGTGCATTATGATTAATTTTGTATTGCGTGTGTAGGTAAACGACAACATATACACCGACAATACGTTTTGTATTTCAAATTACAGTATTCTATTGACTCGCCATTTTAATTGTCTGATCGTGGTCACGTGACTTCCTGAATCAAGTGTTCATATTCTTAGGTCTAAATGTTCTTCAATTCGAGCAGGCTATTGTGTGTTATATAGCTAAATATTTGGTAGGAAGATAGGGATGGGCTTTTATATCAAGTAAACTAACGTTGCCGCAAAATGATAATTCGCTATTAGGCCTAAGCATAACTTACTTCGTAGATTCACAGTCATGTCAGCATTCCCGCGCGCGCCCATATGCACATATTTTAAAATATAGACCTAATTTATATATATGTCTCAAATTTCAATAAATGGTAGTCCAGTGCATACCATTTTCTTTGGCTCCGATCCTCAAAAATAGGTATATATTAATATTATAGACCCACTGCCTTATAAAATATAGAAATTAAATGAACATCGGCTAGAGCATGTAATTTCTTGTGTATTAAGACATACCGGTAAGCCCTATCGAAAATAATTCATTTACGCTGAATTGTTGACTTTCTACTATGAAAAGTATTGTACGAGGTAATTTAAAAGTCTTCGCGAAGGACATATGAACATAGATGCGTCTGGAAATTTGTGAGAAAAATAATTGATAGACTTGTGTACAGGTACTCATTTCAAGCTATAGTTAAATAAATATTAAGGCCAAATTTATTTAATTTGCTAGTTTCACGTTCCGTTATCATCAAATTCTGGTCCCTCATTAAGACATTTACTATCATTTTTCCATGGAAAATATAATAGTGACTTGAAAGATTGATGTGAAAGCCAAAGAAGATGTGGAAACGCAAATGTTAGAATGTATTACCGGTATATTAGATTCGTTTTAAGACATTTTTATTATTTATCAGCCTAATAGATAGGATAGCAAATAGCAAAATATCCTCATCAAAAAATAATTGAACGTGAAACTAACAATTAATTTTATTTGGCCTAATGCAACGTAAGTAATTCAAACATTAGTAGTGTCACTGGGGTTCGAGGTGAGATGGCCTGTCCCGCGGGGAGAGCTGACTTCTCCGTCCGTGAGAACTGACCTCTCCGTCTTAGACACATTTCTTATTATGGCCTATATACGGGACATACTATTTAAAAATAAAGCACCAATAAAAAAAAATCGATTCCCCAAGGGCTTTCACAAACTCCCTCTCCTAACGGACCTTCACCACCCATTTATAATGATCTTCAAACTGCATAAATACTAAAATGAACGGTAACCCGCCCTCGCTACGCTAACCAGATCACAATGTAAAACGTGTCGTGTGAGAGATATATGGTAGATATTCAAATAGGCCTTCATAAATTCACTCATATTTTTTATTTCGTCTCACACGTACGGTAGGTAGGCCTGCCATCTGGTTGTCTTTTATTCCTTTAATGTCGGTGTTATGTAGCGCAGTGACAATAATTGAGGCGATCGAGTTTGGTTGGATGTTGCTAATGTTTCGTTTTTTGATCTAGTTAACTAGTAGTACCGCCTGTGATTGACTTTCTGTTGAGATGTTCTTATGTTATATTGATTAAAATATCATTCAACAATATCGAACAAAAGCAGACGCGGAAGAAACTCGGTAAGTTATTGAATGAACGGTAACCCGCCCTCGCTACGCTAACCAGATCACAATGTAAAACGTGTCGTGTGAGAGATATATGGTAGATATTCAAATAGGCCTTCATAAATTCACTCATATTTTTTATTTCGTCTCACACGTACGGTAGGTAGGCCTGCCATCTGGTTGTCTTTTATTCCTTTAATGTCGGTGTTATGTAGCGCAGTGACAATAATTGAGGCGATCGAGTTTGGTTGGATGTTGCTAATGTTTCGTTTTTTGATCTAGTTAACTAGTAGTACCGCCTGTGATTGACTTTCTGTTGAGATGTTCTTATGTTATATTGATTAAAATATCATTCAACAATATCGAACAAAAGCAGACGCGGAAGAAACTCGGTAAGTTATTGAATGGTTTTGTTTTCGATTGGAAGTTCGTATTTCCGATTCGGGGAGCAGTAGATAGCGTCAGGGTGTATGCAAAACATACCGTACGAACAATGCACAGAAAATGTCGCATTCGCCCACCGTAAAAGGCATACGTAGGATTGTTTTTGGATTGTTAAACTAACAACATGTATATTGCTATTAAGTCACAATAAAATAATCAAAACACAAATAATGCATACGATATATAATATTTTATCAACTAGATAGTGTTACCATATTTGCATTATATGAGTTAATATTTCCTTTTATGTTGTCTGCAAGCTTTGTTTTATAAAGACAATCGTACGTATTATACAAATTGGACCGTATATAGAAGAGAGCCGACCGCGCGTACACGATGGATTGACCAATCAGATGCGATTGTATGGAGAATGTCTTGAGTTGAACGCGATGTCTTATGCAATTGGATCGCGGTTTAGTTAATAGTGTAAGGTCTTTTGATGCTCTACCAGATGATTTGAACGGCTATTACGAACTGCTGCTATTGCTGGGTCGGATTAGTATCAACCTTTGATGTGTTCCGGAGTGCGGTGATCAGGGATCGCCTTGAAAACTCCGGCGCCTAGGTATAAAAATTAAATAGTTGTATTTGTTATATTGAGGTGTTGTATAGCGTTTTGTGAAAACGGCACATTCGAGCCAATTTCACAAAACATGGCCGACTTGTTTGTACTCGTGTAACACGTTTGTTTACTCAATCTATTGATCCGCCTTGGTTGCCTCGAGAGAAGCTGTATCGTAGATTTGAGGTCAGTCCGCGTATCGAAACTGAAACTGGTGTGTTTCGTGAATTTTTTGGCGTTATCACGTCATAATAAAGGATGGTTGTATCGCGATGAAGCACGCGATTCTCTCCGTATTGTTAATGTCAATCTATTGTCGCGCTATCGATCTATATCGATGTAGTGATGATTAAAACACGTGGTGGGTAAATGTTCACTTGTGTACGATCGGGAACATTTGCATACTACTTATATTAATAGTTATATTTCGGGCTATCGATTGTTTATCCTCTTTATAGCGGAAGTTGACTTATCATTTCAGACAGAACACGCCGATATTGAATAGGAAGCATCCGACTGCTGGTGCGTTAATCCAAGGTAGTGATGCTGGAAAAGGAAGACAGTTGCGTATGATTGGTCCGAGTCATAATCAATCGAATAAGGTCAGTGAATCGATTATAGGAAACCGATTGTTTTATTCATATCGAAACGGATATCAGTTGTTAACTGGTTTATCGCCGGTGATGGTAAAAAATGTTAGTCATGTGCGTATTCCGCGGCAAGTGTGACGTCTTGCATAAACGTCAATCTTTCTATATCGAATGTTTACCGTATATGATTTAAATTTAACAGATCGTTAATTGTGTGTTGCTTTTTCTTTGTTTTGTTTTGTTGTTTTTTTTTCAGAAAATTTTAATCAGAAATTTTGGTTTCAAAAATAGCAGAATTTGCTGAATTGAAATGTTATTTACATTACAAAGGTTTTAAAAACACTGAAATGTGAAATAAACAGTGGTATTTACGCAGCTGAAACGAGTAATCTAGCGTAACTATTTGTAGACATGTGCTTAAATTCTGAATGCTATGCAATATTTTCTCAACATGTATGACGACATTCCCCACGATATGTAAATAGCAATTAGTAATGTGTGATACGTTGTTTAATTTTACCATCGTTTCTGTCATAATAATTATTAAATATATTGCGTTAAGGAGACAAACTTATCGCACACAACGAATTAGTACAACCCACGCCAACAATTTGCGTGGAATATTTATATGTTGATGAAGACAGTAGATAACCTACAATGTGGATCAATACAATGCTGTTTTTGTGTTTTTAATAATGTTTAATATCGTTTCATGTATTTTGTTAATAATCACTCGTTGGATTTTTTTTTTAATAATGTGTAACGATATTTAATTCGGCTGGACTTGTGTTGGCTACATTATGCTCGTATAATATATTATTACATATAGGCCTAGGCCTAAGGATATTTTTTAGGCTCAACTGATCTTTTTATTTATATATTTCGGACATGGAGGAATAGTTCGGCATACGTCGTTATATTATGCCACTGGGAAGCCTATGATGAGTTTGCTTTCTTGATCGAATATTGGGCCTTGTACATGAACCTCAGCAACTGAAATGCTACCACAGGCATAAGTCTTGATTTTGCAATAGCAGCATCGGTTACAAGGAAATATCTTATGTATGATTTTATTTTCGGTCACCGATCGTAGGCCTAGTCTGTTATCTTAGGCCCTAGCTGATAATTTAGGCATGTTCACTCATGGAGTAATTAGTTTAAACTAATTCCTCCGTGGTTCACTGAAGTGCTAAATTAATTTATGCTATTTATTTACAGTTGCATTTGTCTTCAAAACCACGTAATAAACTACACCGACTCAAGGGAAATGAGAGCTTTGTGAATATATTCAATCGACGTAATTCGGCATCGTATCAAAATGTAATTATTATATACAATCAAATTATTTTAATTCTCATGGTATTTGATAACACAGCATTATTGTGCCTTTGAACAGTTTTACAGCAAATTTATATACTGAGGTATAAAAGTCGTTGCTTATGGCCGTTGCCTTTGTTTGACCGCATGGGATGTGGTTTGGCCTAAATTCGAAAAACGTTCGTCTTTCCCGGCGACGATCGAAAATTCGCATGCACGGTTTTATTGCGGCATGGTTATTATTATCGATGGGTTGGTTAAAGATGGTTCGGCGTAGAAAGCGTCTCATTAAGTGAGAATAAAATACATGCGGGCTTACATAGAAAGTCATAAATCCACGAGTTTTTTTTTTTTTTTGTTTTTTTTTTCTGCTTGTAAAACTTGAATTCGCCGTACGTGAACCGAATATTATCGCAACTTGTCTTCGTCTGCCCATTTCCTATTCAGAATCAGTTATTCTGTGGAAATATTTTAGCATATTTATTCTTTTTAGTTACCAGGGTATATGGTGCCGCGTGTGTGCCCACTTTCGTACCCGTGATTAACTGAATCAATAATCGATAACGCCCAGGAGTACGAATTTTGCATTATTTATATTTGTTAGTTTTCATTATACGCACCATGTGTTTAATGTTATCCATCGTTAGTTAATGTACTTGTTAGTTCAAGAGTTGTTATTAGCGTGTCTTTTGCTACCTAGATTGTAACTTGTAATATTGATGTAGATATTGATCAAATTCGCACAATGGAACTGCTGAGAGATTCAGGATTTATATAGGTTGTTTTTATACTGGTACGTTTGTCTCTTTCATTCCTTTCGATTTTGTTTCGTACGACTGCAGCAGGATTTACTTGAGTGAGTAAGCAATCATCGAGTGAGGAGGCGAGGCCACAAAGAAGTATTTGTACAGCGGGGGTTATCCCACACATTAAAACTACAGTGATTCGTATCTTTTGTGCCCTAGAAGTCATATAGCACGTGATATTTAATTATTATTCAAAGAGGCCTACTCTAGGCCTAAAACGAACCAATCGTGCGAGCCAGTGTAAGCAGTTTACCGATCGAGTCTGGGGACCATTACAATTTTGTGCCACGCAATGATAGTTCGGCATAAATAATTTAGAATCTTGTTTACAAATTTTAAAAAGGTATGGCCAAGTATTACGAAATGCCGTGTACAGTAGGCCCGATACGCAATCATAATCATCAATTTAAGAGCCATACAAACAGGACGCCTTCGATTGTACTGTGTTCGAATAGCATAATAATCAAACGCTATTATTGTCGCCAATTTCCATTCTGCTTTTGTTCAAAGCTTTTTATTGTTCTACGTTTACTTCGTGTTCCCAGACGGCCTAAAATGTCGGTGTCACGACGAACAGCCTAGCTACCGAATCACCAGGCAAAAAGAGAGCAAATAAATTAATAATAATGTGACAAAGTAACGTGATGATAACTAAATGGGATCACTGCCACCCACCCCTTTTATTTTAATTATTTCAGTGTACAAAAAGAATAATTTAAAAAGTCATAGGCATAAAAATGTTTTTGCTACTTAGGGTATTTTTGCATTCCCACTCTTGTGAAACTACAGCATAGTGACTGTACCAACGCATTAATAATTATGTATACATATATAAATCGTCGCTCACATCACGAACTAACACAATCAAAGTAGATTGTGTTAGTTCGTGAAATCAAGATAGCGCGTCAAAATACGCGCTGTTGTTGTTAAGGACTTTTGTGTGGTAAAGAATACAAAATTGCTTGACAACCAATACACTAGCAAAATAAAAAATTTTAAAAAAAGCCTCACTCCCTCATCACTTTTCCTGCCGAGATATGGTGATAAAATAATAATATTTTTTATAGGGCCTTATCTTTATTGTATCGTATACCTACCATAGTCATAATAGTAATTATTATTATTATTATTATTATTATTATTATTATTATTATTATTATTATTATCCACCACTGGTTTTAGAATTTCGTAAGTCACTGTTACATTATTTGGATGTGACCGTAAGACGCTTATTTTCCTATGCGCGCATCCTTTGTGTGAATTCAGATTTCAGTTTCGCTGGTGTGCTACCACGTAATATCGGTAAAGTGTAATAGAGTTGCATTATTAATGCTTCGAACTTTCGATACTGTAGGCCTTTGTATATTACAGTATCTGTTTCGATTATTAATAATAATTATTAATACGTTGACAACGATATGAGTGAATTATCGCAATATAACGCGATTGTCACTCAGATACCGTACTATAGGCCTATGTGAGAATACAAGCATGATTATTGACAGCGGCGTTGGGCACCAGGCGCGCAGCTGCCGGGCCCAATGTCTCGAGGTAAAAGCCGCATAAGGGTACGTTGATAAAAGCCAAATTATCGTGGAGGGGGTCTGGGACAAAAAAAAAACAGAATGCTGTATGGGCTACGGCCTTTTATATGGTAGAGGGTAGTCGTCCATGGGTGATAATTTTTCTTCACCGTTTTTTTTTTACCCTCCTTCTCTTCCTCTATCGGTAGGCCTACTAAGATAACCCATGGTACACACACGTCTCTACTCACGTGATTGGAATGTGAGATTTTTTAAATTTTAAAAGACATATTATCCAGGTTATGTTTCCTCCACTCGACCATTATCATGACGATGCCGTTGCTTGGGCAACAAGTTACGGTATATGATAACAGACATGTCTTCCGATCGAATAAGGTTACCATGGACACCACACGTCACTGTGACAGCGACGGTGTTCCATTTCAGCTAACTAATAATAGTATATTTTTTCCAGTGTTGGTCGGTTCACATGAATTCGATCCTGTTTTATTCCGTGTATGAGGTGAGATCAAAGAGGTATTCTATAGTCGTAGCATCGCATTGGGTTGCATTATTGGAGTGTCTTGTCTTACAATTTATCGGGGCTTTGAGGCCATGGACACCACCTGCTTCAGACTCTGGATTGCGCTACACCAGAGCGCTGACACCAGACATCAAACTCAATCTACAGACAATCAAGGTTAAGAAATCACCCGGAAGTTTAAAATAATTATTACTGTTGAGGTGCGCGCGTAGAATTAGTTGGCCTACTAAAATATTATAAATGAAATTCTTTAGTTTCGAAATTGTATGTCGTCGCAATGTTATACTGCACATTATTACCGAGCCGTACCGTACTGATTCCATCTAGATCCTGAATATTTTTACTATCGATCATTGCTAATTACGGTACATTCTACACGCATTGTTCAGTCACTACCATAGATACTAATGTCAACTTTCCGAGTTCGTATTATTAGGTCTGTCTACGGATGGGACTGCTAAGGTTGGTACGATGAATTAGTCTCTAATTATCCGGAACTCTTTAAAACTGACTTGTAAACGACATAACATACATGACTCTGGGCTGGTGTCAAAATAAGGATGACGTCATGTCTGCTGTAATTAAATAGAATTCAAAGCATTGTTTACTAAGCCACCCAATCTCAATAGAAGATGAAATCAATGGTTTAATTCAACACGGTACGAGAGCAGCTTAGCTCAGTCGGCTAATCTGGTGGTAGCCACTGTGTGTGCGCTGAACCGTGGAGATCTCTAGGTCCCCGTTTCAATTCCCATCGCTGCCTCTCCTTGTGTTTCAGCTAGAGGGCTGAAATACAAGTTACAATAGCGCACCGTCTTTCGGATGAGACGTTTAAGCCGTTGGTCCCGTGTGCATTATGGCTCATGTGCACGTTAAAGAACGCAGTACATTCTTTGGAAAAGAGTAGGGGATTGTCTCCCGGTGTACTGCCCAATCACCACCAGAATAACCCCACTGGAAATAAGTCTTCTTCTAGACTTTCGTGGGCTATCCTTGGTGTTTACACCGAATAAATTCAATCAATCAATAAACTTATCCTTATTTCTTAATTATATTTGTTGACATTTCTAATGTTTTCTTTCTTTTTTTTCTTTCTTTTTTTCGCAGATGTACGGGACACATATTCAAACACAGGGTCCGTCCGCACTTCAATTACGGTATCAGTTCTCTCCTGATGCGTGCAGACGACCAGTTTATGAACAAACAATGCATAAAACGGACGCACTAAGTTCAATCAAGATCTCGGATACCAGAAGTCTTGCCCAGCGTGAGGTGCCCAATCAGGAGACGTCTACGTCGGATGTTCACGACCCTCGCATCTACGTACGCCATGAACAGCCATTGGATCTGTCAGTTAAACGACCAAGGTTGGCAAACAAGAATTCACAACTTCTGCACTATGTCAACGAACAAGAGCTTTTGCACCACTTCAATTCACGGGATCAGCTACCAGGAAGGCATTCCATAAGTAGGCCTAATTCACGTGACAATCGTAAGGAAATCATTCCGAAAGACTCGGAAACTATTGAAGCGCAGAGAGCGTGGGCTGCAATGGTGAAACATCGACAACGTGACCAACAATCGGAATGCGCAAGACGCCTCGAACGTGATATGATAAGGAATGCAATAATCGGGAAAGTTAATCAGCAGCGTACGTTCGACGCTCAAGCCAATCGTGAACTAGGTGAAACGGCATCAAATGCGTCTTCGTCTGGTGTGATCTCTCTTAATAAAACAATGTACAAAGGAGACGTTTCAAAGTATGATATCAATAAAACACATCGACTGGAGCAACAGCGTCCACATGGCGTTAAACGCTCGTATCAGGCGAATGAGCCTCGAGAAAATGCAAAAATTAATGAATTTAGTCCAAGAGTGGCTTACGTAGTTCCACGAAAGAAAGATAGTTTACACAATGAGAGAAGCTCACAAGAAATGTGTGATGACTCTCGAATCAAAAGTATGGTCCAAGCTGATATGGTCCGTGGCCGTACATTTTTTCCTCCTGTGATGTCGGTGGCTGAAATGGCCAACCTACTACCAGATAGTTATCATGCAACTTCTGCACAGACGCAGAATGCACTCCTTCAAAGCATGTACGCCAGGGTGAGATATGCCACAGATCCATCTGCAATTGGTCTGATTCATAATTCTATGATTGCAGGTAGAAAGATTAATAAACTTCTGAAATCGCTGGACAATGAAAAATCCAAGCGATCCGAATCTGCTAAATTCTGTGTCGCATCGCGTGGAGGTTTAAAGGGCATACGTCGACAGCAGATGGAAGAGCTCAGAAGAACACGCATGCGCGATAGTGATAGTTTGAATGATCAGTTAGAGTTGAACAGTCTAGGAAAAATCACACCCAGAGCTTCTCAGGCAGAAGCAAATCATGCTGCGTTGACATCTATTTCTAATCCAACTAGTTTCAGCCAATTAACGCAACAGCGATCACATAAGGAACGACGTCGTGCGCAAACGCTGAATCCGGGAGTATTACCAGAGGTTCAACAGAGAAGTGGGAATGTGATTACGTCTACCAAGAGATCAGAGGAATCTAGAACTGGAGAAAACAGGTATCAAGTGGTTATTAACAAAAAACATCAGCCAATCAAATTGAGTGTGACTCCACCAGTATCCTATCAAACCCCGACAAAAACTGTGAGTGCAAAGAATTTAAACATATCAACGGGAAAGTTACCTCAAAGTATCCAACCCGCACCTGCGTCTATAATACCGAAACGAATGGCAGAAAAAAGGATGAGGCATGGTGTACATAACAGGCACCGCGATGATACAAAGAGAGTTTTTCCAACCTCATCCCCTGAGTATGCACACTCGCCAAAATCCGGGACTCTACCGGGTGTACTTCATGACTATCATTTCCAAAGTATGCATTTCCGAAGCAGTAGAACATCGGACATTGACCCATTGGGGGACATGATTCGCGCTGAAATTGCACGAAAGAGCGTCCCAAAATCTGAATCGTCATTTAGCAGAGGTCTCTTCCCAACTACGGAGAAAGATTTGAATCGCAGCACTCGGGATAAATACGATAACATGCGTAATTTTGGACGTATGAATATGACATTATCGGAACTTGCAAGGAGAGATATGTTGAAAAAACAGTTCAAGTTAAGTTGTGTAGATACAAAGGGTACAAAGTCAACAGTTCAAGAAGAGAGGTGTGCAGAAAAGATAAAGATGAATAATCGTCGTATGCAAGAGGAATTATTGAGAGGCAAAGACCGTGAAGTGCTCCATAATCCATCTAAGTTCCCGACTATAAACTCTTCACCCCTTACATCCCCTATTGCTGATCAGCCTTCTCCACCGATGCCTGTTCTGACACCCCAACGTGTAGTACATCCAGACGAAGAACCTGTTCGCAGCGGTGATTCTCCTATACCTGTTCTAAAAGACGCGAGGCATGAAGGGCCCGATCCATCGATGCCGCTTAGTCCTTCACGGCACGAGTTTAGATCCATACATAGCTCTTTAGATGAAGAACTTTTGCGCAACAATTTTCAACGCAGATTTGAAATGTTAAAACCTTGTGCAGCATCATTACCTACAAGGAACACAACACCCGATTACAGGGTAAGCCTTAACAATACCCCGCCAGATAATGTTTATACTACAGGGAAAGTCAACTATGGGGAATCTGTCTCGCAAGCCACTAAGGCAGCACTGCAACAAATTTTCCGAGAAGCCAACGACCAGGTCGTCAATTTCCAGAAATACAAACAGAAGATGAGACTCAATTTTAATGAACAAGATCATAATATCTTTTCACGATTAGGAAATCTCCGCGAAGACATCTCTCCTTCTGGAAATCCTGGTTCTAAACGAAATGCAATGGAGGTAATTGATTTGACAGACTCTCGTGAAGCATCACCTTCTCCAGTTTATAGCAATCAATCAACGAACAGAAACATATCTTCTATCTTACCAGGAAAATTACAACATCCACCAGTAGAAGAACCCAGAGAAATTATTTCTGCAAAAGCAACTCCTGAATGTAGCGAAAGCAATGGGAATGATTCTAAAGAACAATGTCAAACAGATTCGCATCAGGAAGAAAATGGATCACAACGATTGCCACATGATTCTCCATTTAGAAAAGTCTACCGTGGAATGAAGCAAAGAGTTATGGCAAGTAATTACCAAAAACTGCCCTCTCCTCTTGCTCAAGAAAAATTTACTGCACGATTCTCGGATCCTAATGTTCTCAGGCTCTCAAAAGAGGTACCAGTATCTAAACAAAGTGTGGTTGTCGCTAAAACTGTTTGGCCAACATCCCCTGAACCGGAACGTTTGTCATTTACAAACGTAAATGAAGTGCGTGATACCGATGATGCTGTGGATTATTTTGGAAGGAGTGGGCCAGAGCAGTTGGAAGATGTCAAGATTCCTGCCATACGGTTTCCACAGTCTGAAGACATGGTGGATCAAATAGACCCAGTGAAACATTCTAGGTCTCCTTCAGTGTCGCCCAGACGAGATGGAATTCAGATGTTAGATGCTGATATAAATCTAATGGAACAGCGTCTGAAGAACATCAGTCCAACTGTGACCACTTTGACAGGTGAAACAATCATAAAACCGCCGAGGAAGCGACCGTTAGAGGTTTGTCGTTTGGCCAACTCTGAAGGGTATGTTGCCGAGGTAAAGGGAGAAAAACACGAGGATTTGTTGACAGATTCTGGACACCTCGACCGTGAAGAACGTGCTTTGAAGGTGAGTTATGTTTGTTTTCTTTTTTCAGAACATTCTACGCATGTCAAAATTCCTCCGCTAATACTATGTACAGTACTAACATTATCAGAACAGTTATACCTTGATTTTTACTGATTGAGATGTTCAGTTTCGACTGTATTTTTTTCCATTTCAATAAAAATATTCATAAACATGAAACGCAGAAATGTGCCTATATGTTTAGTCTTACGTAGGCCTATGTTAATTCACTAACACTAATATTATCGTTTGAAGTACACGATCAAAGTTTTAAAAGGTGATCAGACCTCGTTTCAAATAAATAATAGTTTTATCATCGTGTATATTATATTTCTTCCACGTCACGTTTTGGTTTTATAGTTTTATTAAATTTGCGGTTTGTATTCGATTTAGTTATACCTTGGAGAACGGTAACTTGTATTACATACCGTAGTGAGTTTACTGTACAACGCAAACTAAAGACTTTCTCGGTTCAAATCTATGAAAGCCCATAGAGACCCCCATACAGACCTTTCATTTAAGGTCCTCTTTGTATATTCGTATGCCCTTTCAGCTTCTTGTTCATTATTCATTCTTCACCATGTTCATTCATGTATTGTGTCATTTCACTACGCTAACTTTAGGAACGTGACCATGATTGGCCAGGAGTAGATACCACTTCTAAGCATGTTCCTCTGAATCGAGTAAGTAGAAATGGGTTACTCGAATTGGCTCATAGAAACGCTAGTAAAAATAACAATTATTATATAATAATTATGACATCATTACTGTTAACTGTTGTTAACCTTTACATTATGACGTCTTCCAATGTAGGCCTCCGTACTTTCCACCAATAAATCTTAAACCTGGTATATGTGGTGAATTAAAATTGGTTTAAATCGCTTAATCTTTGAGTTCACCCCCTGTGTCAACTTCTTTTGTGACCTAGGCCAATAAATGTGGGCCTTTTTCACCAACCCAAGTTATAAATTAACCATTTAATCAAGTCCTTCTGTCACTCTCTCAATCATCGGTGCTATAACCTTCGGTATCTCTCATCTTCTTGAGCTTTTAGGGTTTCGGAATTTACATTGCTGAAGCCCTAACGTCGGTGCTTGACGTATTCTATAGTATTGCGATACTTATATGCCTACCACACCCACAGGACTACACTGCCAATATTTGAAATTTTCTAATTTCATTCTAATTTTGCTATATTAACATTCCTAACACTAAGCTAAAAATGCCTTTTTAAAAACTGTTGCTTTGATGGTAGACCAATTACCTATTGTTTTACATTTGCATAAATGAAAAAATATTATGAACATGCCTACTAATTTTGTTTAAAATCATATCCGGGTCTAACTGGATTTCTTATGCACTTTATCGTGCATAAATTATTTTACGGATGTTACATTTAACATAAACTTTGTAGTGCGGTAAGTGTGATATGAAACCGTTTGTTGTTGGTTTAAATAAAAACTTTAAAACGATGATAGGCCTATGCATTCGGATTAATTTGCATTTAAATCTTCGAACGCATTTCCGGTAACATGGATCACGCTTTAACGAGTGCACAGTTATTGACGTAGTTGTAGCCATCAAATTTATCCCGGCAAGTGACAAATGATATTGGTCATTAATATGCGTCTATGCATCTTAAAGGGTTTTTTTCTATGATAATTAGCTTTATGTTTCAATTTCTGTTTCTGTTCATAGCGTGCTATATTGCAGTTTAATCAGATGGAAGCCAAAGAAAAAGAACTGACTAGGAGGCACGAGAATGATATCGAGTGCAATGAAGATGACGTAGGCCCATACAAAGAAGATGACCAACAACAATTGATTGGATCAACAGACGGTTGGTTTTGTGAATTTAAATTAAGACGCACGCGCGCGTACACTTACAGCATGCGCTCTGTAGTCTAGATGCCATCTCGTAGTTTTGTATGTGCGTATGTCAATGTCGAAGACCAAGGCATAGGCCTATAGTATCATTAGAAGAAACAAATTATCACATTATTAGACCTATACCGTATACTGTAATGATGAAGAGATTAAAGTACAGTAATAACGCTTTAAAAAGATACAAAGACTGCATTGAACTTTGACAAAAATCACGCGCAATTTATTTGCTGTTTATGATACAGCTGCGCACACGTAAATGTGAACTTTCGATCGGAAATGCAAAGTGTCCCTGGTATTCACTCGTTCGTGGCCGTCTTGCGTTCTAAATAAAACGTAGATTCGGCCTAAACTACGTCATAGGCCTATGTTTATTTCAATGTGTAATAAAAAACGTTTTGTTGGGCGTCTGTGACGTGATATAGAAAATACGCAGCAATTTAGAGAGCGTATAGGCCTACATTCTTTTCGTCAGTTGCGTGAACGCACACACGCATGATCTGTAACTAGTTTGGCATTTGGTTCACGCGTTGTGAATCAGTCCATCAGTATATTTGATCAGTCCTAACATGTTCTTCAAAACGAATAGACAGGCCTAGGCCCAGTACAATTTATATAGCTCAATATATTTGCTGAATATCGTTTGTAATTCTCTACCATGTTTTTGCGAACAAGGCCTATGCCTATATGTAGGTTAGCACATAAGCAACACTTTGTTTTATTTTTCGTAGACAATTACGACAACGTGTTCCCCGCTAATGATGAAGAGATTGTAAACGGACATCATCATGACAAGGAATTCGCTCCATTGGTGCTCAGACGGCGCACGCGCAATGCAGGCGCACGTGAGTATTTCTTTTGTTGCTATCTACCGTTTCTGGTTAAAAATTGATTAATACTGTAGGCCTAGGCCATAATTGTCCCCAACATGAAGTTTAAAACTCAGCACCCAACGTCCCTATCAGGAGTTGTTCGAACCCAAGGCCTAAAATTATTTTCGAATCGCAATTATTCTGGTTCTGGTTCTGGTGGTGAAAGATCGACCTCCAAAGGACTCTAAAAGTGTAGGAGTAAAACAGGAGGGGTAGAAATAGTGTCGAATAATAGGAAAGGGCCACCACCTCAGTTTAAGACGCTGGGAACAATATATAGGCCTATTCAGAATTTAATACCTGCCACAGCAATGATAATTAGAATTATCTTGGGAATAATAATTTACTTTTCACGTTCAGGTCTTGGGAGTGCGCAAAAACCTTACAACAAAAACGCCCGCTACGAACTGGAGATAGAAAAGGAGAGAGTCAAGTACTGGGAAAGACGTCGCCAGCGGTCAACTTCAATGAGCGTTAGTGAAGATGTCGAGGAGGAAGCACCTCCAGCTAAACGTCGACCTGGACGCCCCCCGAAGAAGGAAAACGAACGTAAAGCCAGCACAAATAGCAATAGCACCGCACAGATCTTGAGCGAGAAAATCAAAATGAAATACAAAGGGTGCGGCCGTGGCAAGTATCCACGCGTTCGAAGGATTTCGGTAGATTCGAGAAAAAGCATTGACAAAGATGTTCAGAGTAATATCCACACTAAGACAATTTCGGATGAATATGAAGCAGATACTATTACAGAAGATGCCCCAATGGCGATAGGAGAACGCCGAAAGTCGTCCACGTCGTCTGCCGGGAGACGTTCGATGCGGTGCGTAGTCGATCCGAGTAACCACAACAAAATCAAATTCGTGGCCATCTCACCCGACGGAGTGAAAGCTGAGAAACCACCAGCGAGAACACCAGGTCGTAAACGAAAGATAAAAACCAAACATCTCGGTGACATGTTGGAATGGCCTGACCAGGATGGGGGAGATGTAGCTGAACACAGGGTAAATAATATAACATTTTTTCTGGAATAAAACCTTTCTCGCATTGCCAATGGGTTTAGGAAAATAGTCTACATACAGAATATCGGCTTTCCTACGTTGTACTTTGTGGTAACGCACAGCCACGTACGACCGTCGGTCGATGATCTACACACTCTGTAAAATTTTGGCGAAGCGATATCGTCTTCTGATTGTCGGTGGCACTCTGAGTGTATCGTTATTAAACACTATCCGTTGCGCGCGCTTCTTCGCGACGTTGCGTTTTCCATGGAATTGCATCGTCCGACGAATGCATGCCCGGCTTTACTGTAATTAGGAGTTCTTACCAAAAAGTATAGAAATTCTATATACTCTCTGCTCTTGCTAATAAAATGTAGGCTTAACCTAATACTTTATTAAGATTTATTTTTATACGAATACAGTAAATGGTTTACAAACGGCTTACATTATCTTGCCCATAAAACAATAACAATGGTAAACAGAGTGAGGAATTATGAAACCGTTTGGTTCAGTGGTGATGAAACCGTCAGACCAACTAGTGATGACGCCATTCATCAGGAAGAAAACTTGTCTAACCATAAACGCAACCCCCTTTTTTTGTTTATAAGGAACAACTCCACTGCACAATAACTGTTTCAAACAACAATATGAAAAATAATATGAAAATCTCGTTATAGCCCACGTACGTAATGTCTGAGTGATTTTACAGGCTTGATCGAGTCTGGAAATTGCAGCTGTGTAATGGGATATATAGGCGTAGGCCTATTTTTACACTGTGCATGTCACTATTGTAGTGTACATGTTGTTTTGATCTTTTGCACAGGAACCGAAAAAAGGTCATGCAAACCGTTCACTAACGAAAAATTAATGCATGGTTTTTTGGATAGAAAATAACATTGGGAGTTACAGTGATGACGTCATAATTGACTTATAACGGCAATAATTAAATTATCGCAGCGCGTTTTCATGAGATTATGCGCATTTTGAGCACACCTAATCTGGTATTATACAATGCCGATAATTATACAAGTCGATGAATTCATGTAGTTACTAGATGAATGAAAACGCAGACCTCAAACAAATCAATCAATATTTTTCCCATCTGCCATAGGCCAATGGAACAGCCTTCCCAATAACATGATTCCGTCTTCCGTTTTAATAACAGGTTTCGTAATCTCGTCCGGCGTCGAGATTGTATTGTTGGGGAGACATTCACCATACCTATTGTTTGCTATTTTTCCTCTCCTGGTCTGTGGTAGTTTTTTTTTTTTTTTTTTTTTTTTAACCAACAATAATAAATGAAATACAATTATGCATCCTCCATCGTTGATAAGGTCTAGTCTATAATTCACCATTTTATTTTATTCGTATCGTAACTATTTTCAATTCTAATTTGTTCACAGGATTTCGACGAAGAAAATGTCGTCATCAAAAGCGAGGAAGAAACGCTCGAATTCCAGCGCCCCGAACCACCACCAGGTAGGATAACAATAGACCTTTCCTCTAATAAGCCGCGCCCATGGTTATTGTTGAAGGTCAAAAGGACTGCGTAAAAGTACGCAAACACGAGTGTTTGAGAAACAAAACGTGTGTTTGTGGGAAAAGCGCGTGTTTCTGGCTGTGTTTTGATTGGTCATTCGTTAGTTTGATTGACACTCATGAACAGTCAATTATATTGAATGTGTTTTAATTGATTTGTGGTTGGAAAGTTCTCTACGATTATTTGACTATAGAATACAGTACAGTTAGACTTGGGTCAAATTACAGTAGGCCTAATTGAAAATGATCAATCAATTATATTATAAACATTTTGTTTTTTTCCAGATTTCCGTAAAATTCTTGCCAATAAGAAGTTGGGTGAGACAATTTTACATCGAGCTGCCAGACTAGGCTATGACGTAAGTACATTGGGTTCGTTCACATTCACTGCTGGTTTTAATCAAATGAATACCAAGAGGATTATATTTTTTGTGTGGGCTTACTCTGTATAAACTTGGTTCACACGCTGGAGCAATTTAGGTGCGGTTTGAAGCACACACAAGGAACTAGCAGCCACCACACTACATTCAGAGCCACTTAAAAAAAATTCAGACGCGTGTGGCGTACTATACACACAAGGTTGGCGTACGCACGGTCCTGACGTAGCCAACCTTTTTTTTGCAATATTGGAATGATGCAGTATTGGAGGATCTTCCTGACGCAGGATTTGGGAGTTGTGTAGTGCAATGTTTCTAACGAGAGCGTATTAGGCTGGATAAGGTGCCGACTTGAACCCCGAGGTAGTCCAGGTGACGAATCCCCGGAAGCTCCGACTTAAAAAATTTAAAGGCTTTTAATCGAATCGGCTTTAAAAAATACAATGAAATATTTTTTTCTTGCGTTTGGAACTTGCTGATAGCTTAATGCTGTATTTTTTAATTGTTCGGTATTCTGTTCTATTTTGAACTATAAGGATAATAATAATTATATATTATTTGAAAATTTGGTTCTATATCTATTTCAGGATGTTGCCATTTATTGTGTGGATTACTGTATACTGGACATAAACGCCAAAGACAACGCCGGATACACGGCACTGCACGAATGTTGTGTACATGGTCGCCTTAAGATTGCTCACAAACTACTGTCCCACGGCGCTGACGTCAACGCAGGCGCTGTCGATGGGACTAGGTATGACGCATCTATTTATTTATTTATTTATTGTGGTATAACCATGTAACAAACTTTGTACTAATCTCGGGGATTTCATTCTGTACTTAACGTTCATAATTCATAATTCGGACTGAATTTCCTTAAACAAGGGTTTAAAAGTCAGTGAATTCGGCCCAAGGGAATCGAATTCACGGTTCTATAGAAATTCATGTGACATCGGTAGACATATTTGAATTATAGACCCATTATTGTAACGTCTATGTAGTAATTGAAACGATTTCTTTAAAGAGTCGTGTATCTAGCTACTACTATAGGCCTAGGCCTTACCACAGAAAACCGTAAAACCTTGAATTGAAGCTCTGGGCTACTTTTGTGTGTGGGAGGGGGTGAGTGGGGGCATCTTTTAAAATGAATGCTTTAAATTTTGGAAATTTGTAGGCCCTACTATAAAACGATAAATAAGGCCACTGAACTACTGTATGAACCAAGCGTGTTTTTAATTTATTTTGTTTTTTTAAATTCATGTACAGTGTATGTACATACAAAAAAAGCCCAAAAAGAAGCCCATGTTATTTTGCAAAGAAGCCCATGGGCTTCTTTTAGAGGCTAATATTGCAAACTAAAGAGGGGGCTTCAATTCGAGATGGGCTCCTTCTCGAGATTAAGCCCATTGGACTTCAATAATAATAATAATAATAATAATAATAATAATAATAATAATAATAATAATAATAATAATAATAATAATAATAATAATAATAATTTATAATGCGCACACCACCACCAATGGTGCTCAAGGCACAGAATGCACATACACACTGTACATGAATTAAAAAATAAATAAAACTTCAATTCGAGGTTATACGGTATAGTCCGACATCGTGAACATACCCACGCCATGTTACGGTATCGTATTATTTTTTGTGAGTTCATAATCTAAATTATACAAATCAAGTTCAAGCAGGGATTTGCCATATCGACTATAAAATGCGGCCTGCATCATTTTCTTGAAACCTTCCTGGGTTATTATGTTTGTTTTTTTCTGAATAGGTCTAGTTTCAGCCGCACGTAAGGTATTCGTGTGTCATTTTCTAGTGTTAATTAGCTTAAATATTTTATGATTCTAGGCCAATCCACGATGCCGTAGATAACGACCATTTGGAGGTGGTTCGCCTACTATTATCGTTTGGTGCCGATCCGCTGCTGGCGACTTATTCGGGACGAACAACTTTAAAGCTGGCACGTAGCAAGGACGTCCGCTCTCTCCTTTTAGGTAGGTGCAGCATTTGTATTTATCTTTCATAATTTAAACCTTGCTATCAAAAGAATCGCATATGAATTTTTACTCGTATAGTGAGCAGATTTAATCCCTCCCGGATATCGGATAACGATGATGGCCTTCGTGTTTTATTGTAATCGGATGTAGAAAAGATCATACCATATTGAATTATAGAAATACGGTACTTTGATAATCTACGTACTTTAGTTGAATTTAATCAATATATGTGTGTTTTTTTAAAGGTTTCCTAGTTGATGTCAATGGAACGTGGGAAATGGGAGAAGACGAGGAACCTCTGACAGCCAAAGACCTTAAGTGGCAGTTCAGTGGGACTTTTTTCGGTACGTCTTGTAATCATAATAAAATGTTACTTGCTCAACACAATAAAACATTGTCGCAATCCCATGAACGAGAGTTTTAATTTAGCGCGTATAGTGCGTGCGTGTTAGTCTTACTGCCGTTGTACGACTGGTGTCTGTTAATCATACATACTGTACTTTAATGAGTATTAATTTTTGTTATGAACCTTTCCGGCTTTATGGCAGGTTGGTGTGTTCTGTTTTTAGGTGGGTTTCTTTTGGAGACAGGCCTATAATGTTATGTTCGTCATTAAGGCCATATGTAGGCCTAATGTTATTTCCTGATTTCCATGAAGATGATGTATAATATTTCGGAAGTTAGCTTTGTAAATTATTACTATTTTATTATCACCCAAATACTCGTCCGTATAACGTATCTGCCGTACATCCGTCGCACGACTCGCGATATTGATGACCAGTTCTTATGAATGTGGTATACTGCCATCATGCGACTGCCCTGTGTTTAATACATAGAGCTATTATATCTCTATGGTTTAATATGAGTGATGAGGGCGCTGTGCATTATTGTCCCATTGTCTGTCGAAAGGAACTCTCATTCTCTCACTCTCAACCTCTCATTTCTAACAAAGTCGAGTGCGCTTACGCAACGACATGATATGATTACGATAATTTGATTATATGTTATATTTGTCAACAAATCTATACATATTAGTATAACCTACTGGATGCGGCCTTTTCAATTACAGTATGTTAACATATAATTATAAATAATACACCAAGGTATTTAATGAGATTTTGACTACGGTACTGATTATACAGAACTGTAGTTAATAATGAAGCTTTTAACATTTTTTTTTTATTCAAACGACGTCCTCTTGAGGGTGCATAGACAGTTTATTTTCTACCATGTTAGGTTCTTTCCTAACTCAATACCAAACCACAGTTTACAGTATTCGAAATGTATTGGGGGTCATAAACCAGCCAACGTTACGCTGTCATCAGTATTTTAAAAGTTTACAATCGTGGCGTGTCGTCGTTAATGCAACCCTGTTGAACTTCATATATACATTGAAAATGTTCTGAAAAAAAAAATCCGTTGACACTCATCTGACTTCTGTTTATGAATTACCTTATAGATGACACAAGAGACAGTGGTTATAACATCTTCGAAGACATTCCAGGACCCGACAGTGATGGCGAAGATAACTTTGAACTTGAGATGGAGCTCAGTGACTCTCCTCACCTACAGACTTTCAACATGCAGGTGGATGAAACCAAAGGGTAAGTAAACTTTCTTGGCGGCGCGCGTGTGGTGCGGTAGTGCGCGTGTGGTGCGGTAGTGCGCGTGTGGTGTGTCACTTTATATGTAAACCAACCTAAATCAAATAATGTGATCAACTTGATCACCTTATTGTGATCTAGTGGAGGCTGTAAACTTTCTTGGCGGCGCGCGTGTGGTGCGGTAGTGCGCGTCTGGTGTGTCACTTTATATGTAAACCAACCTAAATCAAATAACGTGATCAGCTTGATCACCTTATTGTGATCTAGTGGAGCGTGTTGATTCATCATTTTGGTTAACGTGATAAATTAATTCATGAGATCAAATTCAACCAATCAGCCTTCAGTTTATTAAACAGTTCCCAACTTCATTGGTTGTGCTTCTGGTAGGTCCCAAGCTCATTGGTTGTGCTTCTGGTAGTTTTCATGCAACACTGCACACATTAGCATAAATAGATCATGATGATGGTTTCTATGTGAACGGTTTTCTCTAACATGCTAAAGTTATCATGATAAATAGATGCCTATTGAATTCACTAGTGATTTTGCCCTGGATGGAATTTCCTGCCTGGGGCTGACTTCATTATGGATTTATGCTCAGGGGACCGAATTCTGAGAGTCATAAACCACTGGTACCGGGAACACACCGTTATGTAATTTCAGATGTGGATAGAAAGATTTCCCTCTAATCTGGTGGAATAACAATCCTGTTTTCGATAATTTATTTTTGTATTGTGTAATTGGGATTCAATATCATTACTTAGCATTCATTATGTTTAAACCCACAGACCCCGAAACTGGTGCCTGTTTTCGGATGTCAGCAAAACTGTCGGCATGTCCCGTGACAAATTCGAAGTTATGCATCCCACAATACCCATCGTGCGCGTATGTGGAGAAGAACTTAAAAAATCCCTATGTGAAAGTCAGGTGGCGTCATGTGTTGATGACGTGGACGTAAACAACAAATTTGAACTAGTTGAGCTTAATGATGACGTAAGACAGCTGCTGGGTGTGGAGATATTGTGTATAAAATAAGTATTTTTACGCTCAGGATGGAGATAGTGTGTTAAGATAAGGAATTTACGAACCTTTGCGGCTCAGGATCTAGATTGTACAGTTACAAGGAATTTACGAACCCTTGCTGCTCAGGAAACAATTATACATGTATACTGTATTCGTATATATACTTACATTCCAAAGATCGAAGAAAATGTTTTGGGAGTGCGTGGACGATAATTCGACATCGAAACAATTTAGATTTGAATTTCGTCTTCTTGAAACAGTAAATGAATGAAAGGAAATCTGTATTAAAAACTATGTTCACTTTAAAAACGGTATGGAATACAGAGATACAACTCAGATTTATGGAACATGGATCATTAATATTGGATATATACTGTAGGACGCATTGTTTTTTATGTGAATCTGTACCTATGTTGATACTCAGAGAAATGGATGAAATACGGGAGTTTAGTTTTACTCATCAGTAAACAGAGTGCATTTGACAGCTTTCATCTGCGCACGCGCTATCAAACCATGTACGAATGGTGCCGTTTCCGCATACTGTACTGACTGATACCGCAATGCGCAACTGCAAACGGGCAACTTTTTTAATGCTTTGTTTAAAAAGTTTATCAATCTTCATTACGTTAATGAAAAGAAACATTTTCTTTTTATATTCAGTTATGTTTGTTAAAATATTTTGTATGATTTTTCTGAAGGGTTCAAATTTTGTAGAAAGGAAAAGACCTAGTCATGATGAAAAACCAAATACGTATCACAGCCCATCAAGTTAAAGAATTTTTTAACAATACAATTACGGACGTATAGGACGTCTAATCACCAAATTCAATCTATTTGACGCTTACTCATCAAATACCCAAAACGCCTTGCCCGTAATAATTTCTTATTTAGTTGTCTGTTGAATCTGAAGTATACAGACAATATTAGTACATAGAGACCCGCCCACGGGCAGATGACTTCATTTGTCAAATTTCTAAGTAAAAACAATAGACGACGGGTACTGTAAAATTGTATATTTCCTCAATAGCTCTTCCTGATTTATGCAAAACGTCCTTTCGTCATAATATCTACCGGAATTTCAACTCTACTCTTTTGGCTAAATACCAATATCATTCACTTGCGTTTTAAACAAAATTTATTCATAACATTCAAACTCAGCTCCTTCTAATTACAGTACGCCATGTTTATTGCTTATTACAGTATTTACTTAAATTTTTAACTAGACCGTATGCGGGCCAGTAAGGTACCCGTTGTAAACATTGTATAGACCGATTAATTCATTCATAAATATCAGATTAACGTCATTAGATGCTTTATAAGGAGTTCATTCTGTTCATTCTTCATCAATTTGTTTGGTTTTATCATTCATTGATTTTTTTATCCGGTGTTGTTTTCAAATTTAGTTTTAATTTTTTGTTTTAATACAAACCGAGTTTGGATACGTTCGTTTGCACTGTTTTTTATACTTGTGGCTAAGGCCTGTTTACCATTTTTAAAACCACTGTTCAGCATAATCATATTAATAAATTACGTACGTGTTAATTCGTTCCAAGATCCCGAGAAGTACTATGTGGGATTAGGTCTATAATTATGAGTTGTTTTGTGTTTTTGGCCACTTAGTTTTCAAACAGGCCAATTGTCGTTCGTGTTTGTCAACTTGAAAAGATAAGAAAAGCCGTTGAGATTTATGCAGTTTGTACAGCAGTTAAGAATAAATTTATTTTCACGAAATATTTCTTGCTCCTGTTTTTTCTGTGTAGGCCTATAAATTATAATATCGCGATGCGGCGTACGCGTTGTACACGCATTTTTAGCTTTTGTCCACGGACGACTCATTGCTTGGCGTAGTTCTTGCTGCGATAGACATCAAGCAGTTTAGCAATGTTCTTTGTTGGTTCAGCCATTTAGGCCTAAATAAGATAAACAAGAAGTATAATTATGCTAGGCCTACAACAATTATTTTTCACCGCAAATAATATTTATCAATCGTGTCGGCTGTACGCACATGCGCAATTCAGCGTGAACCTATCATTCATTCCGAAGTCACTGGGTCCAAATGTTGATTTTGATGTCAACTTTGATGAAAACGTAACAATTTAAACTTAATTCGAGCTGCATTAAAAAATATATATATAAGCCCCCCTAACCTTTCCATTTTCGCTCATTGAAGCATACACAAATGAAGAAATCGTAAATATGGTACATGGAATGAAAGAAAGACCAGTTTTACGGGCTTGGTATATGGTTGGAATTAAATTCAAACCACGAGGTCTTAGGTATAAGCCTAAAATTAAGCTAAAGTGAACATTAAACATACTGTCCTGTACTTCAACAGTAGGCCTACAAATTCGAGCAGATTAAAAAAATTCGAGCCGCATTAAAAAAAAATATATAAGCTCCCTAACCTTTCCATTTTCGCTCATTGAAGCATACACAAATGAAGAAATCGTAAATATGGTACATAGAATGAAAGAAAGACCAGTTTTACGGGCTTGGTATATGGTTGGAATTAAATTAGGTATAAGCCTAAAATTAAGCTAAATTTAACATTAAACATACTGTCCTGTACTTTAACAGTAGGCCTACAAATTCGAGGCTAATATAACTTAATAAAACAATACTACAATATATTAAAGCAAAACAAACAAAATCACACACTCTGAAAAGCATAATGACAACCACCAATATGGACGTGAAGTGATTGATGCCCCTCTCGAATGCGCATTTAAAATACGGAAATAGGAGACATTCTACAGCTATATGTACGGCAGCATTGTTGTGTTCTTTTTTAATGTGTCTATGTTTGCGGAGGGGTGACAACGTGAAGAGTTGTGGTTACGCACCGTTTCGTTTTTTGTCTAGTTAATGTGGTCGCTAAAATGCTTTGTTCACGAAATCTAGGCCTTTGATTGGTATTGTAGACAGAAGATAAATACTCTGAAAGGCGATGAAAGCACTGTTATGATAAAGGCAAACGGTCTAAGAAGCAACTAAGAATTGAGTTCTAGTTGCTAGGCAGTTAAATGGCCAGCCGGCCTATGCAGTCACGGGAACCATTTAATTCACTCTTTGAAACAACAGTATTTAACAGAAGGTGTTCTAGATATTATTTTAAATAATTTTCTAAGAGTATATCTTTTTCAATTGTATTTTCATATGATTTTCAACTTTGGATTGTTCTACAAAATTACTGTTTTAAATCAGTGGTGCTTGACCACATGGTGGCGCTATTAAACTTGAGACGTCTTGGTGATTTGCAAACAGAACGTCTTCGAAGTTTTGTTTAGCAAAAATAAAGAGGTGGTGTTTACGCTGTTGTTGTAAAGAGATGGTATTTTCTGAGAAGTATGACAAATCGTCCTAAAAGTGGTCGATTGACTAACCGGAATTTGAGATTTTTGAGTCTGTCTTGTAAAGAGAGGGGTTATACAATAGAAGAACGTCCCCATGGAGGATACAAAGGTTGGTGATTTTCTAAATAGTGGGCCGGGATGATCGTGCGTTGCGGGACTGAGTTGCAAGTGCCCGTCGGCTTTTATCCCCTGGCCTGATGTGCTGAGCCGTAACCGGCCTTGCCTAAGGCTACTTCTAGGCCTAGTTTAATAAAAACGATAGCACATTCTTTGCAGATATTAATTGAAACTTAAATGATCACTCAATAAATCAGAATATATGCCTAATACACAAAATAAGAACAAATTGAGGCTGAGGTAAAATGTCAATGAGATTTTTTTTTGAAAAAACAAAAAAACAGAAAAACCAACAAATACAGTTATCTCAGGGAGAGTTGTTATAACAACTCCCTGGTTATCTGTACCTTATTTGCAGTAGGCAAGACAGTGTAATAATACATTCTAAAATACAGTACAATAACATACTGCTATACAGTAATAATTCTATGTTTAAAAAGTGTTTAAAAATAAGAACAAAATAAAAAGAAATCGTAAGAAAATATGAACACTGAGCATGGGAAAAATTTTACTGGTTCTTTAATATAAAAAAAAAAAAGTGTCTAGGCCTAGTATCATTTGTCGTCAAATAAAATGTTTAAAACTGTTGTCATGAGGTGGTAATGTCATGCGATACTAGGCCTATTAGCCTAATAAATATGAGACTGAAGTTTGTTTAGCTGACAGTCTCATTTGATTATGATTTATTGACTACCAAATTAATGTAAATTAAATTAATTCCCTGCGTAACAATCGTGTAAAAATCGTGGATTCATAAGCCTATATACAGCACTAATAAAAAGGTGTAGTTCTGCAATACAGGTGGCTACTGTAAGTATTTTTAAGGAACCAATTTTAATGTAGGCCTACAGACTAGTCTAAATAGTGACTTAGTGCTACAGGTATTAACCAGCAGTAGTAGTAATATCTGCTAAATCAAAGGTAAAAAATCAATTGATTTGACTGGCCTATCCATATACAGTATTGTTTCTGTATTCCTTCCAAGGCCATTTGTATTGTGACAGTCGTCTAAAGAACTACAAACTATACATCGCCAATACCGGTACACTAAACTTAATTATTTAGTGAACCAATGTTTGTTCATTGTCTAATGTTGGGTAAAAATGGTGGACTGGTTTTTTTTTATTTTGTTTTTTTTGGCAGTTCCTTCTTATGAAATATTATTCAATTTTTAAAACATTCATTAAACATTTCCAGAAATATGAATTTTCAGGCCTAGTACCAAAGTAATGAAAGATAAAAGCTATTTAAGTCAGTTGTTTTACATCTTACTTCCTATGATTTTTTGTATATATATTCGTTATGAATTAGTAAATTGAAAAAAAAAAAGTAAATTTCTGAATATTGCATCTCAACCCTCTATCCCACCCAGACATATTAATGTTGATTACTTTATATATTGCATTGCAGGTCTTTCTAAGCAGTACCCCCTGTCGGTTCTGGCATTTGATAAGCCGGCGGAGTACCTAAAAAACGTGAGAAAATGTGTTGCAGATGACTATGAAGAAGAAAAGCAGCGAAGGCTAAATGCCCCTGCATGGATGAGCTGGGCTAACAAGATGAAGAACCACACAGGAGAGCAGGCACTGATGGTGCAGAAATATCTGGCTAGTAATAAGGTAACTTAAGCCTACATTACCAACATTTGAAGCATTGTTAACAGCTTTGTCAAGGGTGTAGAAGCTTGTAGTGGATTTAGAGGTACTCCTACTACTTGGCTGAATAGTAAAAGTTTAACTTCTCACATCACTGAATGATACTATTTTAAGTCTGATGTACATTCCCCCTCTCTTCCTCCCCTCCCCTCTTTATTTTTCTCAACAAGTCATTAAGATTAAAAGCAAACAGTCACCCCTCATTCTTCGGATTCTTTAAACCCCACCTGAGAGAGAAATACCCTTACCTAACCCCATACTTGATGCATAACCTTAAAATACCTGGCAATGAGAGGGAAGCTTTTCCCGCACTCCCCCACCCATCCTGGGTGAAGATCCTTGAAACACCAATGTGTTAACCCCTAGCTGCCTTCTAATATAACTGTCCTCTCCGATGAGATCCTTGAAATACCCCTAGAGTAAAGTTCACAAGTTAACAATTTGCTTATAGGGGTCTTAATCACCACAGGGGAATCATGATGTCTTCTGATCCAAGTCAATGGCTTCACACTGAAATATTGTCAAATCATATCATATATAAGACACTCGCACTATATATAAACACCTGTGTGTCTTATATTATCTGTAAGTGTGCAACGTGAAGCGACTTAAAGGTTAAGGAGCTAGAAGCGTCACACTTGCTAGCCTTCTCAAGTGTCCCATGGTAGCTCCTTCATCTGCATACTCTCTTCACAGCTCTGTTGGCTGTAAATTGACTTAATGCATATCATCAATAAATGCACTAATTTCATGCTAGGCTGGTAGATCTAGCCTTCCAGGAAGCATAGATTTATACAGTTGATAACGTAATAGAATATGTCCTACGATATCCACACTACGTCAACATAAATTTGTACAGTGCAATAATACCTTTTAGAAAAGATTTTTATTTTTTATTTGCTGTGTCAATTGTGAAAATTAATTGAATTAAGGATATTCATAATTATTTTGTTCTTAAGAAATTAATAAATTTAATCAATTTGCTTGCCAAGTATTATTGCTGTTTTTATCTAATTCTTTAGCCTGAATTTAATTATCTGATCAATTATTTTTTTGTAATTTTGTTGTAATTATATCAACATACAAATTGAAGAACCTCGATGAAGTTTGAGATATAAATTGTTATCACTGTTTTTTTTGTTTTTTTTTAATTATTATTTGTGGTTTTAGGCCAAAGGCCATGGATTGTTAAGCAGTGAACTATGTCCCTATTCGAAATCACATATCCCTTCACAAGACAAACACAAACATGAGATACTCTACATAAATTAAGTCTCATTACGAGGCTTAGGGATTGGAGTTGTTTTGGATGTGAAAAAAATCATGTTACCATGACAGGAATTAAACCCAGGACCTTGAGATTGGAAGTCACCAAGCTATTCAACTGCACTCAATACTGTTATGCTATTAGTCAACGTAGAGTAGTGAACATTTTTTTCCAACATTATTTATAACGTTTTATATAACTCCCACCCATACCAAGTTATAATATCTGTTTAAATTCACAGGATGAACAAGTTAAAGGTGTGCTTTCATCGTATACTGAAAGAATGCAAAACAGGTGTAACAGCGCCCCCAGTGACCCAGACAAAATGCTTGTAAAAACCAACAGCACACATCAGTTTTTGACATCGACCGATAGATATGGAGAGTCAGCAGAATTGGTAGATATCTCACTTGGACGACCAACACGCGCGAGGTACATTCATTCATTCATTCAGTCATTTCTTTATTTCAGATATAAATACCCATATAAAAAATAAAAGCACATATAAAGGCAAGCGAAAAATGTATACAGTATATTCCTCAAAACCAAAAATATTTACAAATTACAAATTAGTTTACACCATCTCTGATGAAGGTGTGAGTGAGGAAACAATAGTTTTGATGAAACCATTGGAGCTAGCACAAAGTCTACTCACAAAACTGTGTATGGAGTTTCTCCAATATTCATAAAAGAGGGGACACTATTAGTCACAAACATCATACTTGCACTGTTGTTCCTTGGTAACTTCAATGTAATTTATGCCTTATTAAACATACTCTAATCATACTTTAGTAATCTGCTAAAGGTAGCAGATACCATGATGTATTAAAGCTATTTTACAACCTACTGTTATTTTAATTTTATTTTAATAAACTTTTTTGTTTTCATTTAGTTTGCTGCGTGTACACCATCGATCACAGTCTGCACCTCAGGTGAGGGCGCCCTTGGAGAATAAGACATTCTTACATCGACAGCAAAAGATGGCAATGAGTAAGTTGTATAATGTATGCTGCTGCTGCTAATGTAATTATTCTAGTAGTACTACTATTATCATCATCATCATCATTAATTTATTAATTATTATTAATTGCCAAGCAACTACTGTAATGTCCATAATATGAACAATTCATTATTTTTATTGTAATATGAATAATCAGGTGGAATGTTTTTTTGGTTTTTTTCAGAAAAAGAAGACAAGTACAAGACCGCAGATGTTCCAAAGGAGTAAGTGAGATTTGATTTTGAAGTATATATTTGTTGATGAGAAGTGTGATTGTTTAAGCATGGATAGATTGTAATGGTCAGAAAGATTGTAAGGGTCAGGTCGAGAAGCTTTAGACAGAGGAGTGGAGGGGTTTATGTATTCACCAGGGGTAAAATTAAGACCGCATTGTTTATTGTTGGATCCCATTATGATTATTAAATCAACAATTTAATTAATTTTTTTACTTTGCAGCCTACAACCTATAACCCATAATGGTGAAACTATCTATGAATTTCTTGTTGGAGCCAGGTATAACAGGTGAGGACTGATTATTTAAAGATTATTAATTGAAATCAATTAAAAATGATTTGGTTAAAATATAGATAATTTATAATTACTGTAGTTAAATGTTTTAATAGAAGTGGGATATGTTGATAAAACAGTCGCCTTCACTTGACAGTATTAAGTCACTAGGGTTCCACAAGCAACAACTGTTGGAATGGCGCCATATAAATGGAACAATTGATTGATTGATTGACCGACTGATTGATTGATTGATTGATCAATCCATGGCATTGTTTCTGTGATACTATGATTTTGATACTGCGCTGATTAATGTATTCATTTTGTGCTGTGAATGAGTGACAGTGACAAACGTGCCTGCCTTATAATCCCAGAGTCAGTTCCTGAAAATTCTCATGACAACTGCTTGGTAAAACAAAAATTATGTGGATCATATGTGATTAATGAACCAAAAAGAACTTAATCAAATAAGCATAAGAATATGCCCGGCCCATCCAACTGTCTTTAGAATTACAGATAGCGGGTATTTAATGCTAAGGCCACAAGAAGCAGGAAAGTATGACAGATAATTGAAAATCTACTCCATAGTCCTCACTTAATTTACCTGTTTCTTTATAGAAATCAATTGAAATAAATTTTTAAAATATTGTTTTCTTTATATTTGCAGGTCTTATTGTGCAGATGCAACCTCCATGTCAAAGTTAGGCTTGTATGTCTCCAGGGATGAACCATTACGATGTTTCCTCCATCGGCCATTTCAGGTTCCCCAAGGGGCTAGTAAAGACGTTAACTACCAATCCCCTCAGAGTAGCCTGGCAAGCAACAGTCTTCCACAGAGCACAGAACGTATTTTTCAACACGATGACGCAAAATCTCTTTCATTGCATGTGAAGTCAGCGTGGGAGAAGAATGATCCTGTAACAGCACTCAGTCGACCTACTACCGCACTGATGCCTACCTCTCACATTAACCAAGATAATTTTGGAGGAGCAGTTACGACTTCAAGCTATGGTTCCAAGAAGATGGAGAAAGAAGTAAAATCTGACGAGCACAAAGAACCATACTGTGTAATGTGTCACGGTGGAGTGCCAAAGCATGCAGTGGCATCAAAGAAGCAAAACACAGTAAGGAATAAAGATGAACAGGAATGTGCTGATCATTTGAACCAGGATGATCACTGGAAGAAATCTTATGTAAACATCTTGGAGCAAAACTATCATTTAAATATAACCGGTAAGTTCATTTGTCGACCCATTAAAACTAATAAGTAGTACATCTAAAATTGTTTCTTGCCCATCTTCTCTGTTCAGCACACATATAACTGTGTTGAAACTGTTTTTTAGGAACGAGAGTTGGCTTTCACAGTACTAAACCATCTGCACCGAGAAGCAGTCATCTTCATTATTCTATGTCATCCACACTTTATCGGCAGAACAAGAAAACAGTCAGGCCACATAATAACATGAACAACAACCACCCAAGCCGACCAGCATCAACACATAATGGATCAATAACTGGAAGGTCAGACAGTGAGTCAAGTAGTGATAGGTCAGGCAGTAGCATTCATGTTGCTATACCAGCAATGCCAACCTCTGGGGAGGTTGATATGCCGAAAGAAGTAATCACAAACTCTGCACAAGGCACCAGAGGCAACCACTTGAAAGAAAATTGTGCAGTAGTGTCTGAAGATCAAAAGGAAGTAGATTGTGGCTGTCGATGGAAGGAATTTGCAAATCAGAATGGTGCCTCAACTCATAGTGTTCCTACTAATGATGAAGGAACTCTGGGAATATCTACCAGTGACAGTGGAAAATCAATTGGTGTTGACCCCAAAGAGGATCAAAAAGATGCAATTGTCAAAGGTGGCAAAGCACAGATTAGTGTTCCTGGTACTAAAGATAGCAGAGGAATGCAAGATCCATCAACTGATGATAGTAACACAAACCAGAAGGTAGCTGAACAGACAGAATGTGAACAACAAACAGAAGATGTTAGTGAGAAAGACAAGGAACCTGAAGAAGCACTTCCTGATTACCAGCCACAAGAGGATGGAGATCAGCATGACTCTTGACAAGGTTGATACTTCAGAATTAGGTCAAACACGTAACATCAGAACACCCCTAGACAAGAATTAGCACAAACAAGGTAACAGAATATCAAAATTCACAAGATGAAAGTTGAATTTAAAGAAAATGTTTCTGTGTTACCAATAGAAGAGATGATGTGGAATTGGACAAAACTTAGCTGAATCACATTTCAGAACACATCATGAATGTGTATCATTGGAAAAAAACACTGACAACAAAATATATACCAGAATTTACATGATTACTGAATGTACAATTAATTGCTATACAAATATCTTGGCTATACAGTATATGAATTTCATCTATTGTTCGAACTGTGGTGTAACTCACTTTGTGTGCTGTAATTTGAAAATAACCACAGGTCACCAAATTAGCAATAAATTGCATGTTTTTAAAAAAAAATTACTTTATCATGCATTCAGGATTATAGGGTCTGTACAAACTGACCTTCAGAGTGATCTGGCAATCAGCAACCTAGTATTCAGAAAACTGTATAAGGTAGAATTACCTCCTGGGTAGGGAGAAATACTGAACTGTAAATGAAAATTCTTGCAAACCTAATGACACAAATAATTCTAGTACAGTATTCAGTTTTATATTGTTATCAATTTTATACATTCCAGAATATACTGGATCAAAGTATGTATATTGTTTTTGATGGTTTTTGCATAGGGTAGTTTATACCATAATGCAAAGAGGAGTATTTCAGTTCCTTTGAACTGTTGGTATTACTACAATACTTGTAATAAGCGATTAATTGTATTAGAGTTTGTCAAATTTACTTTAATTTTGAAGCAAATTCCTTAACCAAAGAATTCTAGCACATACTGTATGACATTTGTTTATTCCTATAAATTTAATCAAGTGTTTTTTACCAGTTTCAGTAAGTTTTCCAATTGCAAAGATTTTATTATACTGTACATACAGTAGGCCAAAAATTTATCTTATTATAATTCTTTTAGTAATATTATTTATTAGTATATTGTATTTTATGTCTCTATCGTATGTACCGGTATTCTACTTTGAGAATTACATTTACAGTAAATACTTTTGTAATACCTTAATAAACTGTATATTTCATTCAATTTTATGTACACATTGTCTACCATAAATTCTCTATATTTTCTTTTATATATTTTTATATAATCATCTTGAAATGAAAATGTTGATGTGCAATCTATTTTCAGATATCTTATTAGTGTACCTATTTGAATATTTATGTTATTTGCATAATTCTTTGAACATTCATATATTAAAAGTTGTTTTTTTTTCATATTTTACATGCATAATTCTTACAAATGTTTGGAATGCCTGCAAAGAACAGAGGATTAAAACCTCTTGAGCTAGGCCTACTACAAGCAATTTCAATACTTGCAATGTTGTATTAATGTGTTTTTTTTTTTTAATGATTGGTGTTAGCAGTACTGTTTACATATTTTTAATGGTATAGGGCTCACCAGACAGTGGTGGCGCCAGCGGGGGGGGGGGGGGGACAGGGGGGGGGGTGGACATTTGCCCACCCGTCAGACAGGCCTGGACCCCTTGTCGTCCGAGGAACGACTGCTTCGTCGGACCAAAAATTTAAAAAAATAATTTGCCTATCCAAATACATAACGCTATTTTGATTGCCAATCCCAAATATTGTGGTCTAAAAGCACATTTAGGACCAAATTAAGCATAAAAACTCTCCCCATAAACCCTAACTGGTATTTTATTTATTCCGGGCCTTTGACCGAGGCTTCGTCATCGTCTTGGTCCGGACCCCTCCGTCGGACAAGTCGGACCCCTTGTCGGCAAATTTCTGGCGCCACCGCTGTCACTAGACACCTAAATTTGTATATTCAGATTTTTATTCTACTAAGCATCCTTGATTTAATGTCATTAAGGACAAATTTCATAGTATTCATTTAAATAATTCAATTACAACAAATGCATATATTCTTAAATGTTTATCTTTAATAGTGGTCCAGATGAATTCCTAATATATTTACTGTAGTAGGTGTTCTAGGTTTAATAAAAATGCACGTTAAAAACAAACTTAGGTTTTGTCTGTTTTGTTAGAGGTTATTACATATAAATAAGGTCATCTTTTAATAAGCTCAACTTGATTCACCAGTAAACCCAACATGCAGGAGAAAAGGCCAAGTAAATCAGGGGTGGCGCTAGGATTACCCCAACGTGGGGTCCTGGGTCCTGACGGGCGGGCCGATGCCCCAGACGAGGGAGAAGATTTCCCCCAACGAGAGCAAAGTGGCTGTGGTTTAGCGTCGCTTAAAATAATTCGAAGTGGTCTAGAGAGCGAAGCCCCTGAAAAATTTTGACAATTTAGGGGTTTCAAAGGCTTATTCAATCGATTTTAGAGTCTACTAATCAAACCAATAAATCAAATCAAATATACTTTTATTTTCCATACAATAAAGTAATACAATATAAAATAAGAATGCAAAAAAAAAAATTGAACTACTGTATGTACGCAATACATGTAATTTTTTTTTCTCCCCGACAAATTGTGGTTTTTCTCCCCGACGGGGGCCCCCTTGCTGGCGCCACCCCTGAAGTAAATGTGTTTATCTCCTTTCTAAGTGATTTTGTTCTTTAAGGGGTTCAAATTTAATTATTTTAATTCGACCTTGAATAATTAGAACTTCGACTTCAGCTACAGAATAGCATGTTTTTCTGCGAGTGATGTACACTGATAAAGCAAGTCTTTGAATACAGTAGGCGTAGCAAATTTTACCTACACATATTTCTATAAATAAGTTATAGGAAAAAAGTTAGAATCTCCCCATGTTTTTCAAGATGGATTTTAAACTCAAAATGAATGTGACATGCAAATTATCAAATTAATTTTTTTCTAGGACAATGAATGAGCATTTTCTTGGGTATCTAGAGCAAACACGGATCTAGGAAACTAAGACCTCAAACCTCAGCTGTCTAGAACTACAAAACTCATCTTTAAATTAACCGACCATACCATTATTTTTGTAGGGAAATTATATATATATATATATATATATATAGAGCCCATATTCTTTTTGCCTCCAAAATGACTACACACTTTCACAAGAGTGCCACTATGATAAGTGCCACTATGATGGATCATGCACCAGCACCTGTCAGTGGTATTGTGTATATTCACAAATTTCATTGCATGCTTGTTTGAAACAAAAAAAAAACTAAGAAAATCTTGTGCATTCAAACATAGGCTACTCTGTGTTATCTTAGAAAATACAATTATTTAGGCCTATATTATTTTTAATTAATAGTTGAATTTATAGGGCACGGTTATAATGAAAGTCAAAACAAAAACATACATAAGAATATATATAGGGTCGTACTTTATTGTAGTTTAAGTTACATTCCAAGATACACATTTTTAAAACAGTTACCGGTAATAGTTATGTAAGAATAGACCTTTATTACAACCAAATACTCTATAGTGACTACAGTACTTTTGTTTGTAGGGCATGCAATTATTCCTTAACTTGCTGATTGGTCCATTTGACTTGATTAATGCCTGCAATGTACTACATGGCAGCCAATCACAATCATCGATGCATGAGCCAGCCCTGATAACTCTTCAGAAAATTGAAAACTTTGTATGTATAAGTAATGCAGCTGTCATAGTAAAAGGGCTTGTTTACAAACAATTCCTTGATCGAAAGTGAAATCTGATAAAGACCTAATGACAGACAATTTAAAACCAATTAAGACACTCAAATTAAAAGTAACCTTGGAAAGGATACAGAAGTTCAGATAGAATAACAGTCAATGAAAAAGTGAACTTTGGAGAATTCTGGAGAATTTCAAAGTGCTACAACTTTCCCAATAACTTTTTCATCCAACAGCCAACTGCTTACAGGATAACATATTAAATTATGCTCTGAGTGGAGTTATGATTTGGCAGTTAAGATGCTTGCCTTCCTTGGTTCAAATCTTGGATTCAAACAAAATATTTTTTCAACTAAACTCCCTACATACACCTCATACTACAATAAATATCATTATGGTGCTTAGGGCCTAGAGTTGTTTTCAATCAAGAAGATATTAGTTTAGAGGGCCTCTTCAAGTCAGCTGTACTACTGTAGTGCAGCTGTTAGAGCTACCCTCGTGAAATAAAGTTGAAATAAATAAATAGATACACCAATAAGCTCAAATACAGTAAAATAATAATAATATACATAACAGCTTTTACAAATAATGTACAATACATGAAAAGAAACAATTTTATACCTTTTTAATGATAACTGTCATTAAATCATGGATTTTGAAACTGAAATACAACCTTAATCAATGAAAGTGGATTTTTACAGGAAATTGCTTTGCCCAAAATAGAAAACTATTCCTCATCTAGGATTATGTGATTATAGATAACGGCACATATATTCTATGGGGAATTTTGGCCACAAATTCCTTTTAAAATTAACTAAGCATTATCAGAATTCTCACCAAACCTTTAACGGTATAAAAATATAAAACTTATGTTCACAATGTGTACAAAAAAAACATGCTCTAGTTAGAAAAGAGTATCAATATATAGATTTGAGCCCCTTTTGGAAAGAAAAAAAAAAAGAAAAAGAAAAAATCGATCACCCAAAACTTCTTGGGGGTTATTTTCGAGCATCTAAAAAAAAGAAAAAATCGATCACCCAAAACTTCTTGGAGGTTATTTTCGGGCGTCTAAAAAACACGGGGGCATGCCCCGTTCGGACATCTCTAGATCCGCCCCTGGTTTGCATGTACAAATGTATGCGTAGTGTCAATAGATTACTGCTTATATGCAAGTGAGTAATGTAGCACTGTATTCGCTATTGGCATTCCTTGACCCAAAATATATAAATTAAATCAAATTCAGTTATTCTTATGGCAATAGAGATAATCAGTGGCCCCAAATTCGTAGAAATCGTGTGATATTTTGCTGGTGTAACTATAATTGAAGTTAATTAGCCTGTACTTGTGCATCATCATTACTATTATTATTTTACCAATACACTATATATTTTTAATTGATATAGAATTGTTAAGTCTTTAGCAGCTTTGATCTCTCATTAGAATAATAACGATAAAACAAATTTGTTAATTTGGGACCACAGAATAGTGCTCTTTTAATTGGAGGGAGACCTGTATGAAATAATCCATTTCATTGCACATTGTGTTTTACCTTTTATCATCAGGTTTTTTAAATCCCTTGCTGTGCATTTAGCTTGTGCTCTTGAGCAAGGCAATATCTGCATTGCTTCTCCCCACCCTGGTGGGGTTGCCTGCTACTGCAACAATATAGCAGCAACACTTAAGCATGCAGACCCAATGACCAGGGAAAACAAAGCGCTTTGTAAAACCTAAAAGAATAGGTGCTATATAAATACCAAACAACAAAGAACAAAAACGTTTCATTGCACACCGTGTGTTACCTTTTATCATAAGGTTTTTTAGATTTAAACGAGGTTTGTGAATGTTTTTTTAAATCATGATTATCAGTCGCTTTGTTCAACTTCGGCATCGCTCCAACTTTGAAATCATCTTTAGCACCATCCATTATCATCAACTTGGCTTCCAGAGCTCGTATCTTGGTTTGAAGACTGGAATAAAATATAAATATTGAAATAAAAATGATTATAAAATAATGTCAATTGTTCTGTTGAGGAAAGTTTCCTATCAGGATTTAAACACAAGAATTTCTGATTACTATTTCTGCTAATTCAGCTATGATGCCAAGTGGTAAACTACCTTAGGTTTTCCCACAAATGAAAGCTTGTTTTTCTCAGGGTGTTTTATGCACAAAATCAATTGATAAACCATAATATTGAAGTGCTAAAAAAACTTTCAATACATTCTAAAATTATAAATGTATTCTTATATAGCGCATATCACTATGTACCTATGCACTGCACATTTTTACCCCCCGTCATCAGAATTGATGCCTGTGGAACATACTCCACAACTGCCGCTGATGAGTAGGTGCATATTTGACACAATGCCTACCAGGTACCCACTTATACACACAGAGACAATGTGGATAAAGTGTCTTGCCTAAGGACACAAGCCAATCAACAGCGTAGCGTTTGAACTCCCAACAACAATGTAACATAACCATATTTACCTTATCTGTTTCACATTTGTAGCTGTTGAACTATGACCTCCAAAACTAGCTGGAAGTTTTTCTGCTGCAATGCAGCTGGGCTGCTGCTTAGCAACCAGATCCTCTCTCTTTAAATAGAAAGAAGAATAAAAGTATTTGTGACAATTTATTATTTTCTAAGGTTTTTGTCATAAAAAAGTTTTCCACTCATGGAGCAATGCATGCATTGAATATCTACTATTATTTCTGAGGCTTGGTTATTAAGCACCAAGAGCCCCAATGCATCTCTACATTCCACAGGCCTTTTAAATCGAGGCACTAAGTAACAGCTCTCCACTCACCAACCTTTATAGACTTAAACCTGGTTTTTTTTAAGTCGCTACAGTGTTTTCACTGCAATTGTTGGACTGAGTAGCAGTCCTACGCAATCAGGAAGGCTCCCCAATTCAACCGACCAATCAGCATCACCAAAAGCTGTCATATGGAAACCAAGCTTTAGCTATAAGGTCTTATAGATCACCAACAATTTCAAATGATCAGTTATACTGAATTGACCACCCTCTCATTAAAATACAGAAAACTTTCTATGGTGAACTTACAGCTGGTTGAGAGTGCGCCCTCTTCACAACCAAACGCTTCCCAAGGGCTGATTTCCCATCTAGTAGTAGAATGGCATTACTAGCTTCCTAAAATGAAAAAAAACAGATGTTTAAACAATGTAAACAATTTGATGAATGATTTGCTACATTAAAATGTAGACAATTAAATGAGAAAACCTGTGGTTAAATGCTAAGCATTCTATCTCAGAAATTTTAACTTGTGATCTGTTTGAATAGTAAAAAAGTAAATCCTTGCAGAACCTCTTGGGATCATAGGGGTAGATCTTATTCCCAGTTTCTGTAACGTGAAGCGGATAAGAGTGTAATACTCCCCCTGGGTGGGATGCTGGTCCACCACAGGTTACTCCATGCAATTTTCTAGTATCCATTGATACAGTTGGGTAGACTAAAGCAATGCAGATAAAGTGCCTTGCTGAAGGATACAAGCAAAATTCACAGCGAAGGATGGAAACCCTGATCTCAAGGTTGGCAACCATTCCCACAGCACCAAACCGCCATCAATATCTATTGTACACATTATAATATATTAAATCTATGGTACCTCTTTTGTGCTATAACTTGTGAAGCAGTATCCTCGTGGTTTGCCTTGATTTGGACCAGTCTTGTGGAACAGGAAATCAAATTTCTTTACAACTCCGTAACGTTTCAGAATTTTCAGCAAATTGAATCTGAATATATTAAATTAAATGAAAAAAAAAATTGATGAGGCCTCATAGGTATGAGGTTAACTTAATAATGATTAATGTAATAATAAATATTTATATAGATTTGTTTCAATTTCAACATTTCAAATACCCTTTAAACAAATTTATATATTTCTCCAAAATAAAACTGGAATGTACTTGCCTACAGTAGGTCCCAAATTTAATAACCCCAACCACCAGCTAACAAAAGCCAGCAATTAATGACCTACCCTCCGAGCCTCTAAGATGATGTTTGATTTGGAAGTGTTAGCTCTCACTCCTACATTCGGAAGAAATACCACGGTCTGATTTCATAATTGCTGGCCTAGTGTAAGCATATACCTAGGCTAGCCTAGCTACAGTATTCTTTCTTATGCCTTGCACAGGTTCTGGTCTAGTGGTGGTGTCCTCTCTATCTAGACTGGGCTAGGCCTAGCCAGATAGGAATTAAAAGACCAACATACACATTATACTTACTCAGTCAAACGAGGATCCAGATTGCCGATCCACAGCCTGCACCCTGCCTCATCCTCATCCATGTTGTTTAGGACAACATGTCAAAATGAATGACTTTTTATGATCAAACAATTTATGCTCCTCCAGGCCTACTAGGCTAGTTCTGTGCTTGCAGGTCCGAGAGAAAAACAATAATCGAAAGTAGGAATAATTGAGGGCGCTGTTTCAGGTTGTTGAATTGGGTAAGCGTTATGGCGCCCGACACTACTGCAGGTTCATGAATAATTTAGTAGCAATAGAAATTGAATATTCATTTCACTTAGCTCTGTATGTTAATATGTCGACAAGGTCCAGTGAACACGCACTTCTGCTGTCCTACCCTACACACGAACTTTTTTTTCTGCTTGTGTAAAGTAACAAAGTGAAATTATATAGGCCTAGCCTAGGCCTATTTTTTTTGTATGTAGGCCTACTGTACCTTGTAAGTAGTACAAAAGAATATAAACAAAAAGCTACCACCAGCGGCAGTAGCCCTAATAAACAATGGCCTATGTAGCCGCGCCAGGCCCATGCCATGTCAATGCTAGGCTACCACTGGATGAAGGCGGGTACTAGTCCAAAGCCTAAGGTATTCCTTAATACCTAATATTAATAAATTACCTCGCATTGCCGCTCTACTGTAGGGCATAGGCTAGGCCTAGTAAGTCTAGGTAAGAGTTTTATTATAATTTATATCGTGATGTAGGTCTGGCCCCTAGAGAGGCCTAGGACGCTTTGGCTACGAACCAATTATTATTCTACAAACACACATTAGTACCGGCCCTGTCTCAATTATTTCATATTGTTCATATCCTTATTAATTTTAGGGTGTTTATAACAACACCTGCAGTAGTTGTGCCTTTTGTTCTTTTTATTTTTTGTTAAACAATTCTTTATATTGTATATATTTCCAGTGTTATGTTTAAACTGTACCACTTTGAAAATCAGTGTAATGCAGCAGTGGTGCTCATAATGCAATAGCGGTGCCCATCTAAGGAAATAACAACACCTGCAGTAGCGGTGCCCATAACTGCAATAGTGGTGCCTATCTTAGATTAACGTATAAAATAAACAACACCTGCAGCAGCGGTGCCCATAACTGCAATAGTGGTGCCCATCTTAGATTAACGTATAAAATATAACAACACCTGCAGTAGTGGTGCCCATATTCTTTTTATTTTTTGTTAAACATTTCTTTATATTGTATATATTTTTGTTATGTTTAAACTGTACCACTTTGAAAATCAATGAAATAATACTGAAAGTGCCTAGAGTATAAAGAAAGAATAAATAAATAATAAATTTAAGGATTAATATATAAAATATAACAACACCTGCAGTAGCGGTGCCCATCTAATGATTAATGTACTGTATAAAATATAACAACACCTGCAGTAGCGGTGCCCATAATGCAGTAGCAGGACCCATCTAAGGATTAATATATAAAATATAACAACACCTGCAGTAGTGGTGCCCATAATGCAATAGCAGTGCCCATCTAAGGATTAATATATAAAATATAGCAACACCTGCAGTAGCGATGCCCATAATGCAATAGCAGTGCCCATCTAAGGATTAATATATAAAATATAACAACACCTGCAGTAGTGGTGCCCATCTAAGGATTAATATATAAAATATAACAACACCTGCAATAGCGGTGCCCATAATGCAGTAACGGTGCCCATCTAAGGATTTAATATATAAAATATAACAAAACCTGCAGTAGCGGTGCCCATAATGCAGTAGCAGTGCCCATCTAAGGATTAATGTATAACATATAACAACACCTGCAGTAGTGTTGCCCATAATGCAGTAGTGGTGCTCATAATGCTGTAGCGGTGCCCATCTAAGGATTTAATATATAAAATATAACAACACCTGCAGCAGCGGTGCCCATAACTGCATTAGTGGTGCCCATCTAAGATTAACGTATAAAATATAACAACACCTGCAGTAGTGATGCGCATATTCTTTTTATTTTTGTTAAACATTTCTTTATATTGTATATATTTTTGTTATGTTTAAACTGTACCACTTTGCAAATCAATGAAATAATACTGAAAGTGCTTACAGTATAAAGAAAGAATAAATATTTACAAATTTTAAAAATTAACCCATTGTTTTATAAATAAAAACATGCACGTTTGTAATGTCTGTGATTTTAGCATCTGATAACTTGTTTATTATACAGTACTTGTATAATACATTTTTTTATTGTTTTGAGAAAAAGAATCATTCGATGATTCAGTAAATACTGTTCATTTATGTACAGAAACAAACATACAACATCGGAACATGGACCCGATGGGCTAGCGAGTCTAATGAAAAAGTCCTGGCTTTGTTACGGTACTGTACCCATGCAACAAGTCAACAAGTGAATTTGCTATTTATTGCTATTTAGCACTCTATTGAGTAAATTTTTGAATATATTGTAAGTTAACTACCAATTAATTTAAAACATATTCAACAGCTGATATGTAGACAACATTATTTTAAATACTGTACACAAAGTAAAAAATACAGGGAGCAGGAATGTCAACAACAAATGAAAAAATAGAAGTATCAACAGAATAAATAAATGACAAGCAATTGTATGACCTGTGCAGAAGATGGCGATGGAATTCAGTCTGATGACAGAAAAATAATTCTGCTCTGGAAGAGGAGGGCTCTGGAATAATTTCATCACCTGCAACAGCAAAGTTTTCTTTTCAGCATTTTTGAAAGCTAGTTCTATCACAACATTTTTTGAATTTTGAATGATTTTTTCTTATATAATTGCCATTATATCTTCAGTACATACTGTAGATACAGTATGGCGCAACAATTGAGGGTTTGTAATTTCAGGTTATCTTGTTGTTCTTTTAATATATTATAAGTTATATATGAATTTTAATATAAAATATTGAGTCCTAAGAGAATGAATTGTGTGTCTTTTATATTTTATTTTATGTAGTAAGATTGAACATTCTTTTTTACCATTTCACTCTGGAATGTCATGTGGGCAAGATAACATATATACCTCTTTCAGTGTGAACCACAGTTTAGTTTCTTCATCTGTTCATCTCTTTTCATCACAAGCAAACCTGTTAAAATGGAATAGAGTCCAGTTAAACTAGATACACAACTATGACTACATAATTATTATAAATAATATACAGTTTGTACAGTATAGTTCGACATAAACACTGACACAAATCAGTATTAATTGAATCGCATCACCCGATGGTCCACAGGCTAGATGCAGACAATAACTGTGCTTCCATGTTTTTCCAAGATTTTAGAACGTTTGATGCATAACTGATGTTACAGTTTTTTTAGTTTTTTTTAAAATATTTTATATAGCAATCAATATGGATTCAGAAAGAATCATGCTACACATATGGCTATACTGGGTTTGGTAAATAATGTAACTACTGTAAAGCAATAAACAATATCATGTATACTTTAGGCATTGTTATGGATTTATCGATGGCTTTCGATACGATCGATCACCGCATTCTGTTAGACAAACTATATAATTACGATTCCGTGGTGTATCATATAATTGGTTCCAAAATTATTTATCAAATAGAAAGTAGTATGTGTCCTACAATCATTTAAATTCATTATATGAGAGCGTTAAGTGTGGAGTTCCACAAGGTTCAATACTAGGGCCCTTATTGTTCCTTATTATATATAAATGATATATGTAATACTTCTAAACTACTCTCATTTATATTATTTGCAGATGACACAACTTTCTTCGATTCGGATTGTAATATCGACAACATGTTAAATGTAATGAATAATGAGCTTTCCGAAATCTCTAATTTGTTTAAATGTAACAAATTGTCGCTCAATACAGATAAAACAAATCTTATGTTTCTGGGAACACCGCACCAAACCAAAAATATAAACTCAACTTGTTGTATTCATTTGGATGGTTGTAAATTAACCCGGGTACCAGAGGCGTCATTTCTTGGTGTAGTTTTAGATCAAAATCTTACTTGGAAACGGCATATCAATAACATTCAGAAGAAGTGTTCTAAAAATATTGGTGTGTTAAATAAAGTGAAGCATTTCCTACCAGAGAAATCTTTACTATTACTGTACTATTCCCTTATTTTGTCACACATTAACTATGGGATTATGCTATGGGGTAAAGCAAACAAAGGTTATGTGAATAAAATATTATAATTGCAAAAGACAGCTTTAAGAATAATTACCAATTGTCCATATTTATGTCATACGAAGCCTTTATTTGAAAAACTAAATCTATTGAATGTTTTTGATCTATATAAGAAGGAACTAGGTATATTTATGTTTAAATACAACAATGGAATGTTACCCACATCCTTTAACAATATCTTTACTGATCATAAAAGTATTCTTGGGTACAATACTAGGAATCAAAATAACTATCGACTAGATATTCATAAGATTGAATCTGTATTTTCTACTGGACCTAAATTTTGGAAGAATTTGCCAGAAAGAGTTAAAAACTCTTACAGTGTCAATCATTTTAAAACACAGATTTCTAAGCACATCCAATCTCTTAATGCAAGTTAACTTCATGGCAATACTGTGACTTAAATAACGATTAGGCCTACTTGTTCATTTCGGTAACATGTATTTCATATGGGTAGGTGGGTCTCTGTATCTGCCGTGATGTAATTTGTTTTGATTTTTGTGTATTTTTAATGTTTTTTTAATATTCTATATTATGATTGTCTTTTTGTTAATGTGATACAACACATTGTCATGCCTTGCCTTTGTTGTATTTCCTCCATCTTTATT